CGCAGCACATACACACATATACAGTGTAGCTATAGTTGGTTGGTTGAACCCATTGGGATTTGATCGTTTATTCAATTCTTGATATGGTTCTGTCCCGGATGTTACACAGAACTCGCAGTGTGCTGACGTAATTCTCATCATAACATTCAAGTCAGTATCTTATTCTATTTTACAATTGTTAAGCTCAGACGTTATATGGTTTTGAAACTTTGATATCAAAATTTTGTCTAAATCGAATTACTTTAGTAAATTAACTAGCGGATCATCGTAAGAAGTTTTCTTGTGTACTATTGGAAATGTTGATTCCGGGGGGTAGTTCACTATAAAAAATCAAAACAGTTGATTTGAATGTTCAGTGTGCTTATCACCTAACTCTACATCTTTTTAAATGTCCTATGAAATCACATTGCTACCATTTTTTTTTTCCTCTTGCGACTTAAAAACGACCTGGTTATTTGTCTTGAATCTTGAATTATATTTGACGTTTTCCGGATATTATCACTATTATTTGTAATGAATTTCTTTGTACTTCATATACCGATATCATCTGCAAATTGCTCCATATGAGTTTTTTATATCACTATTGGTCAAGATGTTTTAACAGAGTAGGGGAGATAACACAACCTCGAGGCACCCGTTATCTAGTGGTTTGTACTCGAACTGTACTGATGTTACTCAGATATTAAATTGATTTTCTTTTCCTGACTTGAATTATCTTAGGATGTTACGAGAGATAACAATATTTTAATTTTCTGAGGTCTAGAAACATGGCCGCAACATGTTGGATTTTGCCTTTTTTTTTTTTTTTATTTATTTATTTATTTTTATTTTTTTGTCGGAAGCGATTCTAACTAGCAAATCGAATGTAAATTTATTCATAAAACCACTCTGATATTCATCCATTATGTTGCGTTTTTTTTTTTTTTTTCCAGTAGTGTCTTTTGGGGGAGCGGTTGTTGCGTTTTACATTGGTATGAGGCTAGGGAGTAGTTATTAGATGCCATTACTCCAAGACTGTGAGTAGAAACTTCCCATGCATATCTTTTAAACAGCATTAACGTTTTCCGGACAGTGTGTTTCTTTGGATTTGAGAGTTCCTAAGCATTTCTATTCTGAAAATGGGCTGTACTTTCTTTACCAGCGTCCCCAAGCATTTTTTTGGTATTGTGTCTTATTGTTTTACTTTCTAACCTTTCCCTAGAAGTTGTCCAACCTATTTGGATTTAGAAATCTGTGGTTGTTGGTTTTGTTCTGTTTGTGATGAGATCCCTTAAATATGAATTGTTTATGAATGATTTCACATATAGAAACTATGGCCCTGTATCGTATCATTCTCAGAACTGTTGATTCAGAAAACGAAAGAATTACCGATGTTGTTAGTCTCCGTTCAAAGTTAATTAATATAGTGACTCTAAGTATAGAGTTGCTGATAAAAGTAGCGATTTTCGAGGTAATACTTAAGGGAAGGGATCTCGGGATAACTTTACACTTGATGTCATATCTCGACATCATTTTGAGCTACACTCGGGCGCCTGCCTGAGAGCTCTTTAAGAAGATTCATCAGTAACACAGTCATCGATAGACTTTGTCTTCCAGTTAACTCTATAGGTCGTATTTTTACTCTCGTTAGTTTGTCTGTTGTTTCCGTTGTTGTATACCTTGATCTAATTTGAGAACGTGATGTTTCTGACTCTGATAGACCAAGATTTGCACGGCGGATGTCATAAATGAAGCAGAAGACGCCGAATCTTCCGCAACACCTGGTCTTATTTTCCTTGCACTTTCTTAGGAACCTCCGTGTAAATATTTCCTTTGTTGGTGTTTTGCCCTAGTTGTATTGAATGTGAATTCGGATTATGATTATGTTGACATGTTGGTAATTTCTTGTTGTTTTAGGAGTACGTTATCATCAACACATAGACCGGGTGAAAACGGTCGCTGTTTGTAAGAAAAGTGAAAATTTCTCCAAAATATCTATACTTTTGAATCTCTTTCTTCAGATAGTAGACGACTAAACAAACCGTGACTCTTCGTCATGTTTTGTTATCACACTTTGTGTACTGTTGGGAGAACAATGAACTGCAACCGATAGTAATATAATACAAGCTTGCAATTACCTATTTACAATCACAAATAATAATTGTATATAAATTCTCTTCTTTTGAACCAGGATACACATCACAATAATATCTACAGTCGGTATACATTCGTAAACAATGCGTCAGATATAGCTCATGTGTACGATTTAGAAGTATGCCCCCTATCTGTAGCTATAAATCGACAAATATAAAACAGGAGTCAGGAATAAGCATCAATAACTTGTTGACAAGCTTTTTTCTCTAAACTAGAGTGAAAATCTACCTTTATACAAACTTATTACAGTGAAGACTACAGCAAATATATACCTTAGTCTTCCTGCTTACAATCTTCGATTTCGCGCTAAGTTTAGACTGTGTGAAAATTACCTAAAAATACTTAATGATCGATTAGAAAAAACATTCCCAGAATTCTAAGGCTATGTACAACAACCTGTAATTGTATCCTACACGAATATCCTCATTTAGACATGTTTATTCTTAAATAGTCATCATAACTTAAGACGACTGGTCTGTACCAGTCTGATTTAGTACTCTATGGTTCAGTAACCTTTATATAAGTAAATATATGTATACATTGTTTTGTTATTTTCATGTGATTGGTGTTCAGTCATCATGCATCAAATGTAAATAAGATAATATTTTAAGTGGATTTGTACTGAAAAATTCAGACCTGGACTCTAAACAATCTGAACTATTTTCAGTGGAGATCATTCATATGTTGCCATACCTTTCTATTACATCCATTTTCACAAGATAACCTCCCTTTGGAAACGATATCCAAGTTATTTACACATTTATTGACAAAGTCAACAATCGTAAATACTGTACATTAAAGCATCTAATGATGAACTGCCGTATTGTAAGACGGTTATATATACAATATAGACTGTGTTTAAAACAGCAGATCGTGTCGGAAAGATAGCCTTACGCTACCACCTGTTGTTTTTTAAATTCCATATTATTGATTTTAAATCATTTGTCAAACATTTTTAACAGTTCAGTGGCATGAAGGATGGAATCAATATAACGATGATAAATTGTATTCCATAAAACCTATCATCGGTGAATGATCTCCGTTCTATAGAGACAACCACCGAGACGAAGTTGTCCTTGCCCGCTTACCTTAAATATGCATATACAAAATATATGTTGAAATGCGAAGATAATCCTCGGTGCATAGGATGTGATGAGCCATTCACCGTTAAACAGTTTAATATTGGACTGCATTGACCTTGTGTCTACTCAAGGTTTTTTTTATCGTAACGTTACAAGTCTAAAGACCATTTTTGAAACTGTTAAGATTTATAAAATTTTAGCTGTCTGTCATATTAATGTGTCTACATTATAAAATATGACTTACCATTTTAATCCTTTGTGATGATATAACCATTTATGATTTTTACCATTTGTCTTTTACCTTTTGGTTTGTTTAATGTAATTTCCTTTTGGATCGCTGAGTGTTTAACCGATTGATGGCCCTAATGATTTTTCATGTGTTGACGGGCCGTTAAGTTTGTAATAATAATTTGCAATGACGTAAAAAAACGTATTCTTCGGTATCCACTGAGAAATTTGGCGAGGATTCTGAGTATCCACGGTCTCTCCATCATCTTAGTATCTGTTTTTGGCAATATTCCGTTTCTGATTTCTATTGTAAATACCATAGACATTTTATAATACCGCTTACAATGTCTAACACGCTCATTTTTTTTTTTTTTTTTTACGCGAAACAAAGTGCCTGATATTTTTCGAGCCGGTCAGTTTTCCAACATGTTAGTGTAGCCGCTATCTTGAACAACACATTTTAAACTTCTTTTCCAATACACCGGCTGTTGGTATCATTGAGCTGAAAATGATGAGGATATTTTTTATGAAATGATGCCGACAAAGTGCTGGTATTTTTTAACGGTGAAAAGGTTTAACATGACGGTCAATTTTTAACATGATGCATTTTTTTTCAACAGCACCTATTTTAGACTTCTTTCAAAATTACAACTGTGGAATTTCGCCAAAATTTATTTTTGATATACCAAGATGATCCAAACCAGCTGTTAATTTTCTTAAATCCAAGTTGGTCTCTACCGTAACCAAACTTCATCTCAAGTTCTTCTTGAATATAAGATGCTAGTCGAAGCCACAATAGGTGCAGTCTTGGAAAACTGCATTTAAAACTTCTCCAGACCCACTGTTGGTTGTGTATCATTGAGAAGACGTTTGTCTCACTTCTTATGTGGTTTAAAGAAATTTACGAAGAACAAATCCAACATACGCTGTTATCATTAGTATTCATATACCACTGTTAAGAAGTGTCCATCTGAAAAAGGATTCCAAGCTTAGAAATTGGGGACTATTCTGTACCCAGACACGACGACTAGTTCCACCGCGCGGGAGGGTACAATGTGGTTGATCAAGAGACAAAGGCTCAAAAGTCATTAGTGTCCGAAAGTGGTGACCGGAGAATTCAGGCGTTCCCTGTTTCATCGATGACACATGTCCTGCAAATCTCGGTCAATCCAATAATTAATATCACGTTCCCAAATGAGACCAAGTCAATAACAACGGACATGTCAGATACGCCATGGAGCACCAAACACGTCAAACTTCCATCTGATTGGTCAAACTCATGTGGAAGAACTGTGAACATTGTATATTCTACTATACATTGATCATGTATTGATTGCAACGATTGTTATGTAACATTACACAATAAATTGACCATGGCTTATATCACTCAACCTACTTAGTATCTCATTCATTGCATGGAAAGTCACGATTAAATACAGTCACGCGCAAAAAAAAAATGTCGCCTCGGTGTTTAGTCTCACCTGTATCCGCTTGATGTCTAGTAGTTTACATTGGGTCGGCGCAATTTAGTACTACGTAAACATGGCTGCGCCCTTCAGTTGAAGGTTTAGTGCAGATTTCTGATAAGCAAGGGATGCATAAGTTCTGTTCGAACTGTTTAAGAGCTACGAGGAATTTGAAAACGATCAAAAGGTAATACTAATTGTGAAATGCATTTCAAATTCCAGCGATGTCACCGATGATTGTGAATTAGAGACTTGTGTTCAGACGTTGAACTTGGAACTACATGTACATTGTAGTTACAAAGATGTAGCACTGACAACATTACAAGTGTATTCGATTGTTGTCGGCCGTGTTAGGAGAAGGCCGGATAATGATATAGATATTAATTGAGAACATCCTGGGATTACGATGAACCGGAACTCGCTTGAGCAACAGTGAAAAAAGCAACAAACTGAGAGTTGTGGACTATAACACGTTGGACACAACTCTTTGTATGTGTAATTTGAAAGTGCATTTAAAAATTTGGAGCAAGAAAGGTCGTCATCTTTTTCACATGGCCAAAATGTTAATGTGACAATGTATATAACTGCATAGGAAGTGCTCCTGTTTATTATCTATTTTTTTGTTAAAATGGCAATTTATCAGGACTTTGTTCATTATTGACTACAGTGTATAGCCAGTGACAACATTTAATGCAAATGTCATGAATTTACCTGTGTTCTCTTTTTAGCCACACTGTAAACAGTTGATAAACAATGGAGGCGATAAAGTTGGTGATTATGACAAAAGGCATGAACAACTTGATTGTCAGGTTTTTGTGTAAAAATGTACACGTTGCTCTGGTTGTTGGGTCTTGGCAAAAATATGACACCCTCTTTTCTTTATTGATTCAAATAATTTGATGTGTTTCTTTTTTTTAAAATGACCATGCAGTTGAATAACTCAATGATTTCACAACATGATAACTATCCCTGAAATACAGGATTAGTACCTATAGGCAGGGTTGTGCCCAACTTGTTTAAACTGTGTATTACCATGTTGTGTGCGTCCTTAGCTAATCCAAAAAATTAACAAATATGAAAGAACAGGGAAAACACACATTCCTGTCTAGTGCCTTGATCAAGAATCAAACCCAGGTCTCTGGTATGATAATTGACTGACTCTACCAACGGAGCCAAAGAAGCGTGCTCCATCATGATCAGTTGAATGACAGAGACCATATTTAGTGTTAGAGCCACACAGTCCTGTTCCTATTACATAGTAAGATACCTTTGACAGTATCAAACAACATGGGGAAGTCCAGTAATTAATCAACTCTTTAACATTATCTTGGGTGAATCTGTAATGTCTGGTCCACTTGTGATGTATAACAGGTTCTTAATCAATATTAACTGGTTCAATTTAAAGTCCATTTGATGGGATGGGTGATGGCATTGTTCCATCCTGTTCATAATTTATGTCGATAACATGCATCTTGTGAACTTCTCAAATCATGCTACACTTTAGGAGCCGCAACAGCTCATTTAGTTAAAATATGGACCTAGCCAGCTAACTTAATCTAAGTGGAAGATTGAAGGTATTTGGTTTTATGCTTATTACTCATGAGGAAGCTGAAAAATGGACTCATCTGTATGTACTGACATGGCCACGTTCTTGGGAAAGACACTTTACCCTAATCACTCTGGATGGCATATAACAGTCATGTCCCATGTTGTTTTGTGAAATAGCCACCATCCACAACAAGGCTCATGGTGATAAACTCAACCAACAAGCAAACAAACAAAATCTAATCTTATTGATTATTAAGATAGTCATCAGTCTGGGTTAACGGGTCATAGGTCACATTTTTTTTTTTACAACTTTTGCAACTTTATCAAGTCATGAGTCGTAAACATTCATATCAATCTTAATTTGATGATGTGTACTTGTAGGGGTATCTTGAGGTTAGCTGATAGTGTGACATCACTTTATCGATGCCTAAGTATTAACGAGACAGCTACAGCATTGCGTCCATTCTATTTTGTGGTCCATCCAGACCTGTTTGGCCAGCATCCAAGGGAAAGGGTAAATGGTGTTAATCGTTTTTATTATGTAAGCATATCAGTATAACCATAAAAAGCATTTTCAGTCTGAATATTTATGTTTTAGAATGACTTACAATAAATCTTTTTCTGTTGTCCGAGTGGTATAATTTCTAATTGGTTTTACCATTTATTTTCAGTTAAACAAGGCTTAGATTTTTGTACCAATTGATTGAGGAACAGCCATCTGTAATTTTAATTTATACATAGTATTACATATTTTCTAGGTCTTGCATTCAGAGTGTAAGGTCATGTAGATTGTTTGATTTAAAGGGACTACATGGTTAGATATTTATTTCACGACTGATAAAAAGCATTATGACATTTAAATATCTGTTAAAAATTGTGTACCCTCTGTTGAATATAATGTTTCAAAGTTTGCTTAACCAATTTGTTAACATTGTTAAAAAATCAAAATGAAATATGAGCGACCCAACACTTATTCATGTCATATCTTTCGGAGAGTGTAAACGATGTCTTTGCGCATGCAATTTTAGACTTAGATTAATTCATTTATTTCTCTTTGTCATGAGTATAGCATGAAATGAAAGGTCATTTTACAAACTAAGAATTGAAACATGGATGGCAAATTAAATTTTGATTAATTACATAATTGTACAAAGTAAGAAATCATATTAAAACAGCGTGTAAAAACGAGGCTCCAAAAGGTTTCGTTATGAATTTGGCTCTCTCTGATCTAAACAGCAGCAATGTTGGTAGACAATGTTGGATGGGAATCAAACGCATGGGGAAAAATAACAACACCTAACCATCTAGTCCCTTAAATGCTATTTTGTGCTAATTCATCAAAAAAGTAATTTGCTAGAAAAAGAACTTTGCTACATGAATATCATTGTTCAGTGTATATTTTCAGGAAATAAATGAAGAATCATTGAAGAAGTTGCATGAGTACTTGACGTCATTACAAAAGACAGGAAAGGCAACTCCAACAGAGCTTGTATTTTATGTACGACCACAAAAGAACAAAGGTAAATTTGCATAGTGAATGAACACTCCAGGGGATTTGTTTGGTTCTTATAATGATAAAATCAAGAGCATACTTGAAGCACTGTACTAATTTCTTACATAATGAGAATTTTGCTGTTGTTGAATTTTCAGATTTGCGCAGTGTCAAATTACACCTCAACTCGGAGAGTCTGAGGTCCACAGTCACCTCTGTTCTTTCCTCAGTTCATCTTCCTTTGGACTTTGTTCACAATATTCCTAAAAAGCGTTACCGACCTGTTGAAATTCGTTGGGATCCATCATACTACCATGTCACCGGCAAAAAGAACCCAGATAAGGAATACTATAAAAGGAGAAAAGACTGGACACTGCTGTGAGTTTTTGAGATACTCGTCTACATATCATCTGTTTTATGATTTACTTTATTGACACAGTGCATGTAACTTTTGTTAAGCTAATTTCATTAATGTCATGTAAAGAACAAGAAATGACCAGAAAGGTAATGAGGTAGAAATTTCAATTTCTGTGAATTTAGCAATTTTTAACTGAAGGTGATATCAATAGGAATTTTGCTGAACAAAATGACCATTGCATTTAATAGGGCGTTACTCAAAATAAAACAAAACCAAGCTACTCGTCTTAACTTTCTGCACTTTCAGTATTTTAATTACTTATTCAAGAAACTTTCTTTTGCTAGATTGACATATTCGTTAATTAAGGTTTTACTTTGTATGAAAGGGATTGGTTACATAAGCACTCAAACAAAGCTGTTGCTAAACGACTGTTGTGCCAGCAAATTCAACAGGAAATAGCTGTCCTGGAGCAGCTTGTTGTCTCAGAGATAGGACTCAAAGACCTCATTTGGAAGAATGACTGGGGCTTCATCCACTGTCTAGCTTCTCTGAAATCATTTCAGAGACTGCACCATGAACATCCAGGTGTAACTCGTCATGCCCTCAAAGGTCAGAGTTCATTAAATACTGTGATGAAATGAGGATTAATTCACAATTATTTTAGACTTGTCTTTTGAAATAACACGATAAAATTATCTGGGCTCATGTGACAAGAATGATATTACAGCTGCTACAATTTTTAACTAAACAGAATAGAAACATTGTCAAACACTCACTAATTTTTTGAAAGTAAATGCCAGTTTAGAAAAGTTGTCGACCCTATGTTGTTTTGATAGATAAAGTTTTCCTGTAGTAGGACTTAAAAATTGTTAAAACAGAGAGAATGAAACTTCTTGTGGACATAGGACCAAAGTGAAATAGCATGAATGTAGCCATACTCCACATGTTGTAATGTTTAAAGTGTCTTTTCCATGCGATCTTTGTGATGGATACCAACCAAGTTAGGGTAGAAAAATAGAAAAGTGAATGGGACTGACTGCCTAAGTGATAACAATAAGGCAAATGTACTGAAGATTTAAACAACTTGTCTTTGTGTATCTGATGGATTTAAGTCAGGTATATCTGATAGCATCCTAGGAGTATGGTGATAAAAAGATATATACAAACAGTTGTGCTGACATATTATATGCATTTAGTTAATACTGTTATATGTTTTTATGTTACAAAGCTGTTGGTATGCATGCAAGAAATGTGGTCTTTTCTGTAGATAAGACGCTAGTGTTCAGTAAGCAGACTGGAGTGAGTGCTGGTGGAGATATTGTGTTGAGTATTGAGGCAGTACCAACTGATTGGCTTAAGGTTTGTACATGGTACATGTAAATATGTTATCGGTTGTGTGAATACGACAACTAAATAATGGTTGTGTTTATCTGAGCAAAATTGTTTTTGTTGTGGCAAAGAATTTATTTTTTATCACCCTTTGCGATAACAAGTATTTAAGTATTTATTTCAACAACTTTTTACTATGAAGGTAGGTAATTGCTTGAATGACCTTTCATTGAAATATGTCTTAGATTTTTGTGAAATAAAGATCTCTCTGACAAGATTAAAAACACAAATTTTTTTTTTTTCATTTCTTTTGGGGTTTTAATTTTTCTGTAGAAGGTAATATCAACTTTGGCCATTTAATTTGTTATCATACTTCTACGGTTACGACCCTAAATGAGTCGCAGTACATGCCCTATGGACCTTTTGAATTTTTTAATCCTATTTCATCCTAGTCACTCAAGATGCTACAAATACCACCACTATTATTGAATTTTTGTGCAAAGGCAAAATTCCATTGTTCCTGAAAGAGATCCTTTGAATTCATCAGATTTGTTAGATCACTATCAGCATATTCTGTGGTTTTTCTATTGATTGTCAGATGACTGTTATGGGCCATGACTCTCTTGTATGAATATAACAGAAGATATATATCCAGATGGTTTTGATAAGTACAAAGCAGTTGTGAATATTATGGTAATATTCTGTCACATAGTGAAATTTGTGTGACATTTAACTTGCCACCATTCAAGTTTTTCTTTGTATTACATTTTTAAAGTAGAAGGTAGGGAAAGTAGCAAGAAGTTGACACAAACATAAAGCTAGTCTGTGTCTCTGCAGGAATCTTTAGAGCCTTATTTCTTGTTGGATAGTTATGGCATAACTTTGGCAACAAGACAGATCCATTTTGAATTAGATACTAAACACAGAACTCTACTATTTTATATTGACCTTTGCTTGGAATCACTACTTAACTTTAATCAGATATGAATTTTAAAGAAAATTAATTAGCAGTATACATAATAAAGAGCGATTTATTCAATCAACACTTCATTTGCCACCAAACAGAAAATGGACAATTTCCTATTTATATTATATTTTACTGGCAAAACTAGGAAAATTTTTCTGTATATTTTCGCAGATGCTGTCCCTGGTAGATGCCTACAAGAGTATGGTTAACAGATTACCATATATGGAAAGGAAATTGTCTGAACTTCTCGCCAACATCCATATCAGTCATCACGATAGACTTATAATGGCTGAAGAGTATGAACTTCTTTTAAACCAGATTCTGAACGTTCTACGTTGCAGTCAGGTAGATGTGGATCGTTACTTGCATGATGGAGATCTTTCACATCTACAGCTGATTGTAGAGGGGTAAGCTATTATTATAGATTATTGTTATAATAGAGAGAGACTGTTGATGAAAAAAGCATATTTATCCTTCAATATCCACTTTGATCAAATACAAATCATGACTCAAATTTAATGGATGGGCTTACTGAAGGCCAATATAGATATTTTTGTTTCTAACTTTAGATGTTGATGGGCTTATTAACAAGCATGGGTTTATTGCCAGACAAAAACATTACTAAAGCCAAACAGTATTAACTATCTGGCATTGAAACATAGTGTCATTTTCAGCGATTTTGTTTTAGCATTGAATTCCTGATATATCTAATCTTATTCATAACATTATAGAGGTGAAGCTCCCCTGACCTTGTCCACTAGTGGTCAGTTCATTGTGCCAGCTACAGTGCCCGGCTCCATGATTGTGAAGTTTATTGCAGAAAAAAAAGAAATCGCCTTCACACTGATTCAAGATATGGAACTGTGAGTTTTTACTGTTGTGTTTTAAAGAGATGGATTTAACATCTTATTCCAGTGCTTGTATTTATTTCCTCTCAGTTTCAAATGCATGTCAAAAAGACACACACCTGTTACTACAAATCTAGGAGTAGATAAAGCCTAACAATAAACTAAACGGCATTAAACCACTGTTTTGTCCTTGTAATTTTCATCATGGTTGCTAAGGGCCTTCAATGTTGAAACCTAGGCAACTGGAAAATCAAAATAAGTCACTGTGGCAAAAACCTAGGTTTATTTTTATAACTGAATGATTTCTAAACAGTTTGCATTAATAGATATATCATGAGTAATGCTAATATAAAGGCATGTTAAAACACAGCATGCAATTAACAGCAAACTTTGGAAAAAGAAGCTCCTACAATTATGAAAGACATTTCAGTTCTGGAAGGAAATGGTAAATATTTGATAGATTTACAACTGATTATTTCATATTTAACCTATGACCTTTGACCCTGATCCTAATCCTTTTACCACTTGAAACAGCAACTCTTTTCTGTAACAAACTGTTTTGATTTTGCTTGAAGGTTGATGAAGATGGAGTATGTTATTAGAGAACAATGCATGCACCGTCTGCAACTGACATCACTTGATCGGGACGAGAGCGTAACACCTAAACAAATGATCACCTGTTGTGAAAGACTGTTAGATGATGCAGTGTACCTATCAGAACTGTCAGGAGGCAGTGTCCGCGTGTCTAACTATTATGCTGTAATGAAGGATGGAGGAGTATCAATACCTTGGAACTGGAAAAGTGATATATCATAGCATGGACATAGATGTAACCAAGTCTGTGATCATTGTGTTGGTTAGTGTTAATAATGGGTTATATAAACAATAGTCACCCTTTCATCAGAATTGTGACCTTTAAAGAATATTTTGGTTACTTCATATGAATATATTGAAGTTTGTTCTGATCAGATTCTTGGTATATGACACTCTGTAATTCTAATGTTTTGTCTTTACCCCGTGCTGTGATAAGGGTTCTTCATCAGAGAGGAGTGCCTTTGGTAGTAGTCAAGTGTGGATCTTCATAGACTCTACTGTAGCCTTCCCGTATCAGATGGTGATCTGTTGTTGTGTCTCGTCAGTTCTTAAAAAGAGTCTTTTTATTGATATTTGTTGAGAAGTACTGGATGGATCTTACTCAGATTTCATATGTAAGTTCCCCTTGGTCCCTAGTTGTTCCCTTTCGATTTTGAGAACTGATCAGAAAAAAACTAAAAAATGGCTGTCAGGAAGTCATCTATGTTATGAAGATGAAAGTTTATTTACTTATCACAATATCATGTGATGGAGGATGGAACTTTCTCAGATTTCATATGTACTGTAGGTTCATTTTGTCCATAGTGGAGCAATGTCCATTTTCAGACTGATTGGAAAACAAGGGCTGACAAGTGGCTATATTTTGACATTTTTGTAATTGTAATTTCTTTAGAAGATTTTAAGTAATCATTCTCCATTTTCAAGGATCCCATTGGTTCCAAATTAGATTTACATAGTTGAATAAGGGCTGTATTGAAAATAAGGAAAAAGATCCAATTGTTATTAAACTAAGAAAAATCATAAAATAGTGAGTGCAATCTTTTGTTGACAGGTGTAAATGGTGCTAAATGTGAATACCTGTCAATACATACTGGTAATTTATAGTATACATATGTATACACAAAAATTAGAGGGATTATAATGATAAAAGCTGCTATCAGAAAATATTATCAAAGATTGTTTATTTACCTATAATGAAAAAGACACCAATCTATCTTGGTCAATATCTCAAAAAGAACACGATAAACAGATCCAGATATAATTAATATACATTGTATAATTACTTGCAAGCTGGACTGTATACATGCATTTGAAACAAGAAAAGAAACAACATGGCAGATAATGTCACATCTGTTGATAACTTCAGACAGACTTTCAATTTAGTGATATTTATTTGTGTGGAGAAAACTGTCATGTTTGTGTCAATTTCCTTTATGGTAGCAACAAAGAGACATTGTAGTGTTGAGTTGAGGCTCTAGATGGTATTATTTAGTACAATAGTTTGGTGGGTTAGAGATGTTTATTTAAAAACTTTATGATATACAGCTATATTGATATGACCATGTATAGGGCATTCAAAACATATCTTATAGTCAAATTGATTTATATAATTAGTGGTCAATAATGGCATGTCACCTATTATTGGCAGTTACAGTAGCAAGATTGTAAGTTTTTACATTGTTGAATATCAAAATCCTCAATCGTGAACATTTTTCACTCCAGCCTTCCAAAGTCATGTGTTGTCAGACTCACTACATGCAGCCAATGTGACTCCTTTTTCAACGTGGATTACTCACAGCTTCTGAACACATTGATGTTCTTGGGAGTTATCCAATGTTAGTAAGAACCAGAACAGAAAATAGCAAAAGATACATTGTAGATGTCACTTTATTTGGTGATCTTAAAATTGGCTGCTTCAGATTTTGGTGGTCTGGATGAAGAACTGACAAAGTTAATTAAAACTGACTAGCTTAAAAATTTCCCACCGCACAGTAGGCTGTACTCAGTACTCTGTATATGTCAGTAGTAGAAGGTGAGAATGAAATTTTTATGTGTGCTATTTATTGCTAAAGATTGTTTTGTTTGTTATTGATTGTTTTGTTTGTTAAATGCTATTTTGTTTCAAGATTTTCAGAAGAAGTTTTTTTGTTTGTTTTTGTCTCTTGAAGCAGGACATCAGTGTCAGTATTTGTGTTAAACTCTAAACTTTTCAATTTACATACCTGCTATTATGGTTATATTTAAGCAAGAGCATCTTAGTACATGTTTTATCAGTTAATAAGATTTCAACAAATGGTTGAAATTTAATTAATGCTTATTGATTTATTGTGCAATGTTAAAGACTTCTGTTTAGCTTTGTGTTGAACTTTATTTTTGTCAAAGTACATAAGCTACCTTAATGAAACCTGGGACATACTTACTTCTACACATAATCATCTTAGTGCACATTTCAGATTCTAATTTTCACTTACTGTTGCTGAGGAAACTAATTATGTCAGTTTTCTGCGAGACATGTAATTACATGCAATTCTTGTGATGTTTTTGTTTCCTAATACTATTTTTTCTATGTTATACACTCAATATTCTTCAAAGAGAATAGCCTATAGCTTCCGTCAATTTAGCTCAGATTCTACTGAAGAGTGACATGTTCATCAGAATATTCTTTATTTCTTAATAAATAACGATTGAATGATTTTTGTGTTTTATTAGGAAATCTTTCAATTTTCCTCCTGGGATTCTTACCTTGAAAAATATTCAATGTCCATCCAGTTGCATGAGAAAAGTATGCAAAATAGCAGTATGAGTGGGTGCGGAAGCATTTTACTGATTTTCTTAAATACGGATATGAAAAATGTAATTTTGTTGTGTGAAGTTGAAGAGTGATTAAATAAAGAAATGATTGAAGTTTTTTTATTGTTTTATTTAATGGTACTGAAATGAAATAACAAAATAAAATAAATGCTGATGATATTAAAGTCATTTGATAATGTTGTATGCTAATGATGTAAAATTAATAACTGCACACTCCACTACTTTTGAGCAACATGTATTTCACAGTTGCAAAAATAAATTATGTAATTAAGTAGCTTATATGATTCACCATCAGCAATTTATACAAAAAATATAATATTTACACATGGCATGAAAAAAACAAAAAGGTCAATTTGGGGGAGCTTGGCGAGATACAGAGGACAGCTGCATTAATGTTTCTGTGTAAGGAGAAAACGATAATGTATCTATCATATTAAGGTCTCTCACGAGAGCTCTATTAAAAAACTAATTTTGACAAAGCTTTGAAACCTAAGGGCATATGATAGAATACAATAAGTAATTATAGCTGACATGTATGTCATTTTATATCACAGACTGCTTATACAGGGTCACTACAGTCAATCATGTCGCTAAAAATCAGTTGATCATGTCGCTAAAACAACAGGGTCAATTGTATCACGAAAACAAAAGGGTCCATCATGTCACGAAAAGAACAGTTGATTGTGTCACTAAAACAACAAGGTTGGTCATGTCACTAAAACAACAGGGTCGATCATGTCACTAAAACAACAGGGTTGATCATGTCAAAAAACAACAGGGTCGAAAAGTCACTAAAACAACAGGGTCGATCATGTCAGTAAAACAACAAGGTCGATTATGTCGCTTAAACAACAGCGAGGATAAATCATGTCATTATAACAATGTCCATGAACTGTAACTTGTAAAAACTTTGCAATGCATTCTGTTGCCTTGAAATTAGTGCTACTATTTTCTACTACACTTGTTAATTGCAGACCATTTAAATTCTCCTTTCAGGTTTTTACTGTGTATTATTTTTAGTTGTTCTATGACAAGTCTCCTTTTACATTACACCACAGCTTGATTTAGAAAATATCTGGTGTCATGATTGACCTATCAAGAGTATCTAGTATGGTCACTTTTGAAGCTGAAAATGTCCATATTTGATCCTGGTAATGGATTACATATAGTTCAATCTATCACCACATGTGGAACATTGTTCTTATCCATCCAACAGGTCACGAACTGTTGAGTCAAACGTCTTCAACATCAACTCAGTTCTGAAGAAACAGTTCACTGTTCATAACTGATGATATGTTTCCATTGATGGCTTATCAAGGAAAGGCAACTCCATAGTATTGATGACCAGCAGAGTTAAAACATTTGTAAGAACACAGCAGAGCTCTGATAGGTACAAGTCCTGTGATATTGGTCAAGTGAAGGTCCTAAAAAGAAAAAAAGTGGCAAATCAGTTTTCTCATGTTTTTTTGCAAATATGGTTAAATTTCCAGATTTCTTTATGAACAGTTTATTGGTCTTTCATTGTATTTTTGATTGTTTTGGATCCTATCATGTCGAAAAATACTGCAATGCAAAAGCATTAGATTGTAAGATGAAGTATGAATCACATCTCAGAATATTGAAATGAACATAAACATCACATACATAGTTCTTGTGTTCCATTTCATATAGAGGCAGCTTTTATAATATTATCTAGCATTGATTATCACCTTTCAAAAAGAAATTTGTAACATATGTTCATAACCCTTGTAAGACCAGTAATCACTAAATTCCAAAAATATTATGATATAGAATCATGAGGGACGAGGAAAATAAGTTTAACATAAAAAAGTGGTTTTCTACCACATAATTAATTGTTTCTCAGGTAGTAAGGACATAGACATGCAGTAATCATATTTCAGTTGGAAGGAAGTTGCATGATGTATGTCTGTTGAGATTCTATCAGTTGTCAATGGCACCTATGATAATGCTATCACTTATCATCAGTAAGATGTTATCTCAATGGAGAATGCTACAGTGCTACAGGTCTGTCCTGGTTAAGATTCTCAGTTAATCTTCATTCATACCTTATTCTATATTACCTGATTTTATAAGATGCTGAAATAATCACACAAGAATGTCGGTTCCTTAGCAATAAAAGAATGAAAGAAAAATTTCCAATGGTTTGACCAATAAAATTTCTCATGAAACCCCTCCTGATATACTAGTAGTACAGATTATATACTGGTATATATAGCAAATAGCAAATTTCAAAGTCAGACAGCCCCATTCAATAAGTACCCTGTATTGACAGCAGTGATAGAGACAGTATTTTCTGAACATTGCACATAGTATATGACAGCATAAACTTCATTCAGTAAAAGTATTTCAGCATTAAAAATGTTTTCATTTCACTCTCATAATTTCCCCCTTTACAATACACACTAACTTACTCAACAACTGATTTATTGGAGCACAAGGTGTTTCCTTATTCATTTGTTTAAAATCCTCTCGTTGTAATCCTTTGATTATAGCACTGTATGGCACCTCATGGCTTTGTAACTAATGAAATAATGGGTTTTCTTTGCCATTGTTTCACGCAGGACTCTAGATTATTTACAATAAAAAAGTTCTTCGACATGTGCACTGTCAATTCCTTCTCAGCTTTGAATTGGAAAGTCTGGTTACAAGTGTTCAAAAATTGGTTCTCATGTTACTTAGTTAACTATTAATTGTTTAGTATATTTTTAAGCAAATTCTGACTCCATTTTCCATTTAGGGACCTTGAAAAGTTGTTAAAATATTGATACATTTGACTCCTGTGACATTGGAAGAGTGTTCAGGTCATTCATTTGTTGTTCATGTTATAGTGCTACTGGCCAAATATTATGACCTTGGGCATTTTAGTAAATGGCTGTAATAGATTAGTCAGGCCAAGTGTTGACCTTTGCAACTTCAGGGGATTTAAGGTACATGGTTCAAAGTTCACTAACTGTGGTGGTTTGTTTTTCTCAGAGAGTTGAGAACCAGAGCAGTTTGCTGACATCAAATGTGTCCTTTCACAAGACCCTTTACTCTTATTGCTCTAGATGGCTTGAGACAGGCCTCCTGTATGTTGTTCAGTGAAGTAGCCACCAGCTACTACAAGGAGATCCTGCCTCAAAATCATCCTCACTGTTCATGAAGAGATAAATCCAACAAGCAATCCTGGTATTATGAGAAGTTTGTTAAAGGCTTTCAAATTATTTGACCTCAGGGAACTTTAAAGTTGACCAAGGTCATTTGTTTGAATGAACAGGATAGCTCTCCATCCCAGCATGCCACTTGCCCAAAATTATGACTGTGAACCTCTTGGTTTTTGAGAAGTACTTTAAAGGCAAAACTAGAAGTCAGATAACAGACAGAAGATGGATGACATGGCATAAAGTACACATGATTTTCTGAAAGTGGAAATGATAATGAATGCATCAAATGTAATTGGACTAAATCCTGTCTGATGAATAGACAAAAAAACGGATTTCACTGTAAGATTATACTCACTGATTTGGCATCTACAAAGCGTACACATTCCAGCCATGTATTTAGAAAAGACTCGCCACACACAGAACACTTGCTGGCTTGGGCTAACATGTCCTTTATTTGTGGGTAATGGCGGATCGCACGGCGTAGGTAGGACCACCTGTTTTGGTGAAATAAGAGCAGAGTAATTACACTGTAGAAATGTGTGAGATGGCAGTATTCCTTTTCACAACATCACATCAATTATTTTTTAAGCAAGGCTTGAAGGGTAATTAAGAGAAAGATAATCATTCATCCCCTTTGTTGATGTGAAAGGGGACTCTCAACCCTTTTGGGAGATTGTTAAGCACAAAATGCACAGTAAGCCTCCTATTTGTCAACTTGACAATTTCATCCCTCTGGTTGAGGTCCCCTGGAGAGTGAAAGTTCCTATTAATCTTTACAAATGCTCACAGAGAAGGAGTGTTAAGGTACCACACATCAGTTCTGGTGCTAGTGGAAGGAATTTACAGCAGATCTCGAGTGATACATGTAAATATATATACATAGAATATAGTGCAAGGGATTATCCAGACACCTAAATTTATACCACCACTATTGATTTAGATTTATAACTTTGTATTTGTTTTATGTTCTATGTATGTGATGTAATTTATGTGATATTTGTGTCTTGATAAAGGGACAGGTTGCCTCGAAAATTTGACAGTTCAATTCTCTGTACTGTCGTTAATACATCATTGATCATATATATATATATTCATATATGTATATATCCATGATTATAGATATATCTTCTAGAAAAATGTATTAATGAAATATCTGAAAAATAAAACAATCCAAATTGAGAAAATAAAAATTATTTGAGGCAGAGACCTGTTACTTACCTGGATATGTAATATTCAGATCTATTTGAATTTATTGAAAATAAACTTCCTATGTCAAATGAAACATGTTTATAAGATATCCCCTAATGATAAAGTTATCATTTTCTTTCTGCAAATTACAGAGTTACAACTACAAAAAACATACACTTATATACATAATTTTCATTTTTAATTATATCATGATTTTTAACATTTTTTTTTTTTTTTAATTTTTTTGTAAATCACATATTGTGAGAGATAGAAGGTACAATATATTTGCTTGTGTTTCAAAGAGTAACTAGATAAAAATCATTTTTTTAAGTTCAAAACAAAAGTATTAAATCTATACAAATATCATGCAAATTTTCTTGTGTCACACTGGTGAAATTACACTACACAGTAATCTGTAAAAATATTGCGTATCATGTGAAATTCAATCCATGCATATTAGGTACAGAAGATTTTTAGGCTTTTAAAGTCTTACAACTGACTACAATATATATTTACTATCAACAAACCCTTAACATCTAGCTCTAGCAGTTCTCTAAATTCAGATGCATTTCCACACCACACAGAAAGCAACTGAAGAGTTGTAAAGAAAGGGAGATAACACACTTCAGGACAGGTCAAGTATAATAAACTACATATACATTTACACTGTATTTTGTATCCAACAATACTCATTCTTCAACATTGAAAAAAAATATTCATAGACTTATCTCTATAGGTCTGTTATAAACACAGATGTCAGAATCTAAACTCTCAGATGTCAGAATCTAAACTATCAGATGTCAGAATCTAAACTCTCAGATGTCAGAATCTAAACTCTCAGATGTCAAAATCTAAACTCTCAGATGTCAGAATCTAAACTCTCAGATGTCTGAATCTAAACTCTCAGATGTCAAAATCTAAACTCTCAGATGTCAGAATCTAAACTCTCAGATGTCAAAATGCAAACTCTCGGATGTCAAAATCTAAACTATCAGATGTCAGAATCTAAACTCTCAGATGCCAATCAGATGTCAGAATCTAAACTTTCTGATGTCAGAATCTAAACTCTCAGATGTCAAAAACCAAACTCTCTGATGTCAAAATCTAAACTCTCAGATGTCAGAATCTAGAAATCTAAACTCTCAGATGTCAAAATCTAAACTCTCATATGTCAGAATCTTAACTTTCTGATATCAGAATCTAAACTCTCAGATGTCAAAATGTAAACTCTCAGATGTCAAAATGTAAACTCTCAGATGTCAGAATCTAAACTCTCAGATGTCAGAATCTAAACTCTCAGATGTCAGGATCTAAACTCTCAGATGCCAATCAGATGTCAGAATCTAAACTCTCAGATGCCAATCAGATGTCAGAATCTAAACTCTCAGATGTCAGAATCTAAACTCTCAGATGTCAAAATGCAAACTCTCGGATGTCAAAATCTAAACTATCAGATGTCAGAATCTAAACTCTCAGATGCCAATCAGATGTCAGAATCTTAACTTTCTGATGTCAAAATCTAAACTCTCAGATGTCAGAATCTAGAAATCTAAACTCTCAGATGTCAAAATCTAAACTCTCAGATGTCAGAATCTAAACTCTCAGATGTCAGAATCTAAACTCTCAGATGTCAAAATCTAAACTCTCAGATGTCAAAAACAAAACTCTCAGATGTCAAAACTCTCAGATGTCAAAATCTTAACTCTCAGATGTCAAAATCTAAACTCTCAGATGTCAAAATCTAAACTCTCAGATGTCAAAATCTTAACTCTCAGATGTCAAAATCTAAACTCTCAGATGTCAAAATCTAAACTCTCAGATGTCAAAATCTAAACTCTCAGATGTCAAAATCTAAACTCTCAGATGTCAAAATCTAAACTCTCAGATGTCAAACTCAAAATCTTAACTTCTCAGATGTCAAAATCTAAACTCTCTCATATCAAAATGTCTCTCAGATGTCAGAATCTGAAAAAACTCTAAACTCTCTCAGATCTCTCAGATGTCTGAATCTAAACTCTCAGATGTCAAAATCTTAACTCTCAGATGTCAAAATCTAAACTCTCTGATGTCAAAATCTAAACTCTCTGATGTCAGAATCTAAACTCTCAGATGTCAAAATCTAAACTCTCAGATGTCAAAATCTAAACTCTCTGATGTCAGAATCTAAACTCTCAAATGTCAGAATCTAAACTCTCAGATGTTTGAATCTAAACTCTCAGATGTCAAAATCTAAACTCTCAGATGTCAAAAACCAAACTCTCAGATGTCAAAATGTAAACTCTCAGATGTCTGAATCTTAAATCTCAGATGTCAGAATCTAAACTCTCAGATGTCAGGATCTAAACTCTCAGATGTCAGAATCTAAACTCTCAGATGTCAGAATCTAAACTCTCAGATGTCTGAATCTAAACTATCAGATGTCTGAATCTAAACTCTCAGATGTCAGAATCTAAACTCTCAGATGTCTGAATCTAAACTCTCAGATGTCAGAATCTAAACTCTCAGATGTCTGAATCTAAACTCTCAGATGTCAGAATCTAAACTCTCAGATGTCAGAATCTAAACTCTCAGATGTCAAAATCTAAACTCTCAGATGTCAGAATCTAAACTCTCAGATGTCAAAATCTAAACTCTCAGATGTCAGAATCTAAACTCTCAGATGTCAAAATCTAAACTCTCAGATGTCAGAATCTAAACTCTCAGATGTCAAAAACCAAACTCTCAGATGTCAGAATCTAAACTCTCCGATGTCAAAATCTTAACTCTCAGATGTCAGAATCTAAACTCTCAGATGTCAAAATCTAAACTCTCAGATGTCAAAATCTAAACTCTCAGATCTAAACTCTCAGATGTCAAAATCTAAACTCTCAGATGTCAGAATCTAAACTCTCAGATGTCAAAATCTAAACTCTCAGATGTCAAAATCTAAAAATCTAAACTCTCAGATGTCAGAATCTAAACTCTCAGATGTCAAAATCTAAAAATCTAAACTCTCAGATGTCAGAATCTAAACTCTCAGATGTCTGAATCTAAATCTCTCTCAGATGTCAGATGTCAAAATCTAAATCTCAGAAATCTAAACTCTCAGATGTCAAAATCTAAACTCTCAGATGTCAAAATCTAAACTCTCAGATGTCAAAATCTAAAAATCTAAACTCTCAGATGTCAAAATCTAAACTCTTAGATGTCAGAATCTAAACTCTCAGATGTCAAAATCTTAACTCTCAGATGTCAGAATCTAAACTCTCAGATGTCTGAATCTAAACTCTCAGATGTCAGAATCTAAACTCTCAGATGTCAAAATCTAAACTCTCAGATGTTTGAATCTAAACTCTCAGATGTCAAAATCTAAACTCTCAGATGTCAAAATCCAAACTCTCAGATGTCAAAATCTTAACTCTCAGATGTCAGAATCGTAACTCTCAGATGTCAACTCTCAATGTCTTAACTCTCAGATGTCAGAATCTAAACTCTCAGATGTCAAAATCTAAACTCTCAGATGTCAAAATCTAAACTCTCAGATGTCTGAATCTAAACTCTCAGATGTCAGAATCTAAACTCTCAGATGTCAGAATCTAAACTCTCAGATGTTTGAATCTAAACTCTCAGATGTCAAAATCTAAACTCTCAGATGTCTGAATCTAAACTCTCAGATGTCAGAATCTAAACTCTCAGATGTCAAAATCTAAACTCTCATCTTAACTCTCAGATGTCAAAATCTAAACTCTCAGATATCAGAATCTAAACTCTCAGATGTCAAAATCGTAACTCTCAGATGTCAAAATCTAAACTCTCAGATGTCAGAATCTAAAAATCTAAACTCTCAGATGTCAAAATCTAAACTCTCAGATGTCAAAATCTAAACTCTCAGATGTCAAAATCTAAACTCTCAGATGTCAAAATCTTAACTTTCAGATGTCAAAATCAAAATCTAAACTCTCAGATCTCAGAAACCAAACTCAAAATCTAAACTCTCAGATGTCAAAATGTAAACTCTCAGATGTCAAAATGTAAACTCTCAGATGTCAGAATCTAAACTCTCAGATGTCAAAATCTAAACTCTCAGATGTCAAAATCTAAACTCTCAGATGTCAAAATCTTAACTCTCAGATGTCAAAATCTAAACTCTCAGATGTCAAAATCTAAAATCTAAACTCTCAGATGTCAAAATGTCTAAACTCTCAGATGTCAAAATCTAAACTCTCAGATCAAAATCTAAACTCTCAGAAATCTAAACTCTCAGATGTCAAAATCTAAACTCTCAGATGTCAAGAATCTAAACTCAGATGTCATGTCAAAGAAATCTAAACTCTCTAAACTCTCAGATGTCAGAATCTAAACTCTCAGATGTCAGAATCTAAACTCTCAGATGTCAAAATCTAAACTCTCATCTTAACTCTCAGATGTCAGAATCTAAACTCTCATCTTAAACTCTCAGATGTCAAAATCTAAACTCTCAGATGTCAAAATCTAAACTCTCAGATGTCAAAATCTTAACTCTCAGATGTCAGAATCTAAACTCTCAGATGTCAAAAACCAAACTCTCAGATGTCAAAATCGTAACTCTCAGATGTCAAAATCTTAACTCTCAGATGTCAAAATCTAAACTCTCAGATGTCAAAATCTAAACTCTCAGATGTCAGAATCTAAACTCTCAGATGTCAGAATCTAAACTCTCAGATGTCAGAATCTAAACTCTCAGATGTCAAAATCTAAACTCTCAGATGTCAAAATCTAAACTCTCAGATGTCAGAAACTCTCTCAAAAAACTCTCAGATGTCAATCTAAAAAACTCTCAGATGTCAAAAATGTCAAAACTCTCAGATGTCAGAATCTTAAACTCTCAGATGTCAGAATCTAAACTCTCAGATGTCAAAATCTAAACTCTCAGATGTCAGAAAATCTAAACTCTCAGATGTCACTGTCAAATCTAAACTCTCAGATGTGTCTAAACTCTCAGATGTTTGAATCTAAACTCTCAGATGCCAAAATCTAAAAATCTAAACTCTCAGATGTCTGAATCTAAACTCTCAGATGTCAAAATCTAAACTCTCAGATGTCAGAATCTAAACTCTCAGATGTCAAAATCTAAACTCTCAGATGTCAAAATCTAAACTCTCAGATGTCAGAATCTAAACTCTCAGATGTCAGAATCTAAACTCTCAGATGTCAAAAACCAAACTCTCCGATGTCAAAATCTAAACTCTCAGATGTCAGAATCTAAACTCTCAGATGTCAAAATCTAAACTCTCAGATGCCAAAATGTAAAAATCTAAACTCTCAGATGTCAAAATCTAAACTCTCAGATGTCAAAATCTAAACTCTCAGATGTCAAAATTTAAACTCTCAGATGTCAGAATCTAAACTCTCAGATGCCAAAATGTAAAAATCTAAACTCTCAGATGTCAAAATCTAAACTCTCTGATGTCAGAATCTAAACTCTCTGATGTCAAAATCTAAACTCTCTGATGTTAAAATCTAAACTCTCAGATGTCAGAATCTAAACTCTCAGATGTCAAAATCTAAAAATCTAAACTCTCAGATGTCAGAATCTAAACTCTCAGATGTCTGAATCTAAACTCTCAGATGTCAGAATCTAAACTCTCAGATGTCAGAATCTAAACTCTCAGATGTCTGAATCTAAACTCTCAGATGTCAGAATCTAAAGATTATTTTTAGCGATTTCTTTAAATATTTAGATTGGTTGGTAGGTTACATGTACTAGATTTATTCTAACAATATTAGTGAGATCTATCTATATACTAATACCACTGACCTCTAAACATGATTGTCATGTAATACATAATGAATAGACTGTAAACCATCTATTTTTGCATGCTATTTATTTCAATGTATATTTGCAAATTTCATGATAAAAACAAGTTTGAAAAGTCAATTGTCATGAACAAATAAAAAAGACGATAAATGATATTAGTTTCTGGAAAGTTAATATCCACAATATTGTTATGATACAACAAAAATTAAAAGCCATAGAAGACAGCTGGCTTACAGTAGGTTTATGTTGAATGAACTGAAGCTGACAATCTGTGAAACATGCTATTCAGGAACAAAGTGTTGATAATAGAATTTCCTAACACAAAACTTGGTTCCATAATGTCACAAGCATTCTTGGTCAAGATAATTAAAACACACTGGTTTTACAATGATATAAAGTTAATCATCTATTGTTTTATTTAGTTTCATATCTTAGACAATAAACACACTACTTATGATTGTAACATTCAAATGTAAGTTTTAACATTCAGTGTTACTAGAGTATATTATTGTATGGTTACATATGTACTACTTATTTAACAGAAACAAGTCTTTTTATTTCAGATTTTTTTTTTCTTTTTTTTTCAAATATGTTTCAACTAAGTTGAAAATTAAAACATCATACAAGAATTCAAAATGATCACTCAGAAGAAATGCTTTGAAGTTTTAAAAATACATAAATGCCAGGTGATTGTCAATTTGAAGACAGAAATTAAAAGATGGGTGTTTTATTCTAGGTTATATTCAGTAAGCTTTGGACAATCATTGGCACTGAAGGTAAAGTGTATGTTATCTTGCGAACAACATGCTTGTGGTAAAATAAGGATCCAAGTTAGATGTATACCTCTTTTCTGGTCGCCTAATTTCCATATGAAATTGTATAATAAAATATACATTTTTGTATATGACTGACTTGAATGAATTCTAAAAGAATTACAGCAAATTAAAAAAAAAAACAATTTCATAATAACATAACCTGGTTAACTTGCAAGAATGCATATTTGCATGCTTCCCAGAATATTAAAATTTTAAGATTGTTTGTTTTTGTCTATGCATAAAGTTCAAGTGATATCACACTACACAGCAATTCTGTTCAATTACACTGCAAATTGCAAATTAGATAATAAAGATAATGATACACTTGACATTTACTTGGAATGTCATTAACGGTGAATTGATGTACATACCTGTCTTTTAATTCTCTCATGACATATCTGGCTGTGATCTCCTGTGAATTAAGATAGATGCATATATAATATGGGAAGTTAATTTCACATAAAGAAAATAATTTAAAATTCCTACCGATGACAAAATCAGCATGTTTAGACATGTTTATATGTTAAGGTCAGTTTTTAATGTTTATGTACTGGTAACCCCCCCTGTAAAACATCTCGCTTTATAATATTGTAAATACAATAGGTAAGAAATTTACATACTTAGATATAACTATTACATGTATAAATGCAAGGATAGACTAACTAATGCATACATACTAATGTCATTCTTTTACTTCCATAAACAAAAATCATTTCTACAGGGATAGTGTTCCTTGTGAAAACAACTCCAGAACCATTACTTAAATCATTAAATCTAATAATTAGTCCTTAAATTATCAATTTTCATTGTCATTCAAACATTCAAGCTTCATAAAAGTACTTTATTGATGTTTTTTTTATACAAAATCAGAATTGAAAACTGAGTGTGTTTTTAAGTGAATAATAATTCCTTTAGTTATCAATTATATGAACCAGTATATAAAGACACTTTGCAGATGATTGTTTTTTCTTAAATCTTTTATGAGTCTCCGTTCAGAATTGGAGGACATAGCAGGAATTACATGTTGTGATAAATGCTGACTGTGATATATTGTAGCTGCAAACCTTGAGTGAGAGGACTTCTTCCTCCTGTACAGAATGTACAGGGATGTGTTGTAATAATGGATTCTCTTCACAGTACATTTCCTTCAAGGGCAAATCACCAAGCTACAAAAACAGTTTGAATACATGGAGTGAAAAAAGAAAATTCTGATTTCAATAATTTCTAATATTAAACAGACAATGGAAATGAAAATGAAGTTCTTGTTTTCAAAAATAACTTAAGAAAAAACCATTTTCCCATATCATCATTCATCAGATCACTTGGTTATAATTCTTCAATAATTTTACAGAAATCTATTCTGTAGCATATGGGATGTATAAATATCTTTATTCTATATTCTTTATATAAACAATAGTTCATATGGACATACATAGACACATAACACATGATTAAGAATGAAAGACATTTTTTTTGTCTATTAAACTTTTAGGTATTATTTGTAATTGCAAATCTGAATAAATGAATAAACCATGTAATATATCAGTTTAAATTACATTTTCAGAAATCCCCACTAAAGCAATAATGAACTAGATTTATAGTTAACGTAAGCTACAACCCTGATAAAATAACTGATGTTATTACCTCAGTAGGAAAAATCCTCAGCTCATTGGCTGCAATGTCTATTATTCTTAATTTGTAGCATTTACCAAGACTCTGGAAAGAAAGGCATATTTGTATGGAGATTATTGACTTTTAAACAAATGAAGTTGTTTCAGTGATTAAAAAATCAATTCAGTCAAGTTATTTCATTGTCTGAGCCAAGAGACATCATTATACAAAAACAAGACCTTTTAATAGAAGTGAAAAGACAAACATTTCCCTTTTTATAATACAATTTGATTGAAGATGATGGCTAGTCTACCTCCTTCACTCTTCACTTCAACAACACTCCCTTCATTGTACTATACACATTGTGTATAATAAAGACTCTCGTAGAGCTATGACAAGATTTTAAACAATTCGTAGCAAAATCAATGTCTCTCATGCTACAATATATGTAAACTGTATATATGGAAGATCATCAATTCCACTTATATTCACTCTAATCTTGTCACCCTTTTATCACCCTATTTTCCAGTTTATTGTACATGGAATTATAGTACATGTATAGCTTAAAAGCTCAGTCAATTCATAACCATCTCCTATACTTTTTATCTCAATGCTTCATACTGGTCATTTGTCTGATGAAGGTGATATTGTAGTCACCAAAATGTCACATATAAATTCTTTTGCGGGTTGTGATATAAGAATTTCTTTTCTTTATATATTTACCGATCTGAAGAAAATGTTTTAGAATATTATAAGCTATCTTTTGACATTTGAGCAATATGGGGAAATTCAACTAAAATAGGAACAAAAACTAAGATATAATACCACCAGTAAATATTTTGTCTATGTTATTGTCTTTCTTATTGCTCATTTATGAAAAGGATGATTTCATTTTTTTAAAATGTATGTTGAATGCTATAAATTTAGTAGTAATTTTAGTACTAGAAACTTAAAGCATGGTTGGCCTTTTTACATATACCTACATCTCATCTCCATAGTTAGAAAAAAAATAGAGATTAATCATGAGGCTCCTAACAAAATTTAAGTCCAACTTAATTTTTAAAAAATGTTAATGCAAAGCAATTGTAATATCTATTGAACACAGTACCTCTGGTAGCTCCCTGATTTTATTTTTCTGTAAATAAAGTTTTTCCAAATTCACCAGGAATCCAAACTCCAAGGGAAGACTTGTGAGCTGATTACCAGCAGCTCTGAACTCTTCAAGACGTAGTAAGGCACATATCTCCACTGGTAACTCTGTTAACTTGTTATAGTCTACACTCAGATGCTGTAGACTTGTGAGTCTAAAATTAAACAAGGAGAATTTATCTGTTAACAATATATTCTAAATTATGATGTGATTGTAATGAATATTAAGGAGAAATATTCTTCCGATTACTGTGTTTGAATACCCATATTTATTTGGTATTAAATCTCATACCAGGTACAAGTATATTTGTTAAGCCTACCCTCATGTTGTCGTTCAGTCAATTTATAAACCCATGCTATTTCATGATTCTGTAATAATACTATGCCCCAGCCTTGAGTCAGAAATAACTGTATTTGTCCCCGAGGGGTTCCTTATAGGATAGATATGGTAATACAACCATACCAATAACATTAATAACACTGTAGAGAAAAGTTGAAATCCTAATGATTACTAGTCAATATCAGAAATCTTACCTGCATATTTCTGGAGGAAAAGTTTTCAACTGATTTGAATTCAAATTCAGAAATGTGAGATTCCGCATACTAGCTAAAAATAATAAAACAACAGTCATTACAAAGTGTTACTTAAAGCAGCAAAACAAATTAAAATTTTTAATGCAGCATAGTTTTCAAACTTGTATGATTACAAGAAACAGCTGGACTCTATGACACACAAAAACAACTTTTCAACAAATCCTAAAAATATGGCAAGTATTTCAATTGCACTCAGATACTTACTTAAAACTTTAGGAGACAATTGCTGTATTTGGTTGTTAAATAAATGAAGTTTCTCCAGCATAGTGAGATATTCCAGAACTTCTGGTAAATCTTCTAACTCGTTGTTGCCTAAATTCAAGATCTGCAACTGGAGAAAAATTTAGTTATATATTAATAAACATTGTACAGATATCTGTGTTCTTTTTCATGTAATTCCAACGTATAATCTTTTTTATTTTCTTTTTAAAATGTAAATGTTCATGTATTGACAGTAATCAAAATGATACATGAACAAATAGTAACAATTTACAAATTTCTAAAATATCCATGGGTATAAATCAATTACTAGGTTCTTTGAAGACAGGTTGCTAATTTTCTGGGAATCTGGTTATGAAATACACCCATTATACTTCCAGATAACTAATGTATGGCAATTTGTTTTTTAATTGCTTGTACTTAAAATCACAATGAATTTAATTATTACCTTATGTATCATAATTCATGTACCAATTAAATTAAAAGACAGAATTAATTAATCACTATATTCATAAAATGTTAAAGGTTTACCAAGCAAAAAGGGGAAATTGTAATTTTTTTGTTTTAAAAGGCTGAAAGATTTTTACCAGACATGTCAGTTGGTCGGACAGTTTAACACACAAGTAATTTACATATAAAAATAATCATAAATTACAATACTCTTTTCCTATTCAAATTTATGATTTATGATGAGTATCACAGGGCCTTATTAGATAATAATTATTTCACTGAAATAATCAGATGCTTAAAGCCTGTCAATTAGATATATTGAACTTATACCAGGTACCTCACCACACAGTTTTCAATACACTGCAGGTCATGATCACTTTCACTTGATCACTGCATCCCTGGAACATTTTCAGGGAAAATTGAAGACACAAACGAAGTAATTTGATTGGTCCAGAGTAGGTTTTAAAAGAAAAAAAATAGATCAATCACAGACTGATACACTCCTTGGAATATTACAAAGGAGTGACATCCAACTTCACAGCTTGTATAAATGATACCATTATGTGATCTAGAGATTCATTTAATGTATATCAAAGGATCAAACTATTCTTCTTGTCTTATCCATAAGGTGTCGCTCGTGAAACTTCAATTTTGCCATGAACATTCTAAGGGTGTAGAGAACGACAATAAGTTTAACTTCTGCTGTATCAAGGACACACCACTAGGTGTTTGTCACAAATGAAATTTGAAATATGTTAGAGCATATACATTGTATTGTAATTGACAATACATTCCTATCATGTTCACATACAACACCAACAGATTACTGATTGTAACAGCTGAATTACGCGATTTTGTGTTAATACGAATATTAAATTCGACAAGAAAACGTTTTAGTTGTAGCTTGAGAGATGTCATTAGCGTAGGCCTAGTATTACCCAGAGGTCACAGTATCGATCACTAGCACACGCAATGACATAAATAATTATCACTTATACGTAATCACTTCTGGGAGGACGTTGTGAGTGCAAGTATGCCAATTGTGTGTTCCAATGTATAAAATTACCTGAAAGAGGTGACTTAATTCATTTGGAAGATCCTTCAATTTATTTCCACGTAGCTGAAGATGTAAAACACAATCCAATTTCCCTATAGCCCGTGGCACTTTGTTTAACTTTTTGTTACAGAGGTTCAAAGTCTTTGGTTTTCCTTTCAGTGCTCGCACTAGCAAGGTGTCCGCCATTTTGACGCTTTTGTTGCTACACACATGCTGAGCTAGCATTCACAGAAAAAAATATTTTAAATGTCTACCATCAATTTGATTTTTCATTCTAATTTATTTCAAAAGTTAGTTTATTAGTTTAAATTTTTAAGTATTATGTACTAGAATGTCTTTTTTAAAATTTGAATCATTTTTTACGAAACTGTGGCAATGTTAATATACAGCAAAAGTAAGGTGCTTCCGGTTAATGGACGAGGGAAATACGTTTCAAAACAGCACAAATGTCGTGACAATTTTTTAGGCTTTACCGGCTTTTTACGATCGAGTTTATTTTTGATCCATAGAGTTTTTTCGTATGGTTCTTATGAAGTTCTGGAAATATCAATCTTTGCTGAGTTGGATAGAAATTATGTTGTGCAACAAATGATGTTTGGAATTCGTCTGCTTTCACATTAAAGAAATCGGGACTTTATTCTCTATTCGGCATCTGCTGAATCATGTAAATGGAGTAAACTCACCTACATTGTTATGTCTAAATTCGTTGAACCCGATGACGACCCTTCGTTGCATAGATTGGAAGGGTCATCAGGAAGAGAGAAAGGTGGACTGATTATAAAAAAGAAATCAAATCACGAATTCACAAAACCACAAGTAGCGAGTCCAAGAGTTTCTCTGTTAGGGTTGGATAGGTTAGCCGCTGCTAAACGTCAAGGGGATTCATCAGATGATGCTTTGAGGAAAAAGTCGAAAATATTGTCCTATCAAGATGACGATGACAGTGAGAGTGGCGATGAAGAAGATGATGAAAACAATGACAGGTCTAAGAAGGATAAGCACAAAGGCCATAAAGACAGGTATATACAGTGTAGTGGACTCTGTGTAGGAATATGCCAGTTTTGGCAACTGCGTAAAATATTTATCAATATAAATTTAATGTGTCATCTCAGTGTTGTACTATCATGGGTATGATGGGACATGTGTATTGCAATAGAGTGATTCAGTATGAATTGTATTTAATAATAGATGGTGTTTCTTAGTTAATAAAGATGTGAATTATATATAAAGTCATATGCATAGGACCTGGTTTGATTCCTGATGCTAAGTGCATGGAATGTGTGTAAATATAGATGATGTGTTAAATACCATACTGTGACATAATGTTTAATAACATTTTAGAGTAAATTTCTATCTATCAGCCAATAGCCAACTTCATTAGGTCAATTAGTAAAAATGGAAACCTGTAGGTTCATTTAGCAGGAATATGTGTGTCTTTTTCTTTTCTTTCTTTTTTTGTTTTTGTGTTTTTGTTTTGTTTTTTGCTTTATTATTCATTAATTAATTATATTTTAACATAAGCAATACCAATGTATGCACCCCAATCCTCCCTTTTTGACAACAAATCAATAATCTGTAACTAGCAGTATATAAGAGAAATCGAAATATGTACATAGATACTGTGTACATGTATATGTTTATCTTGTGTCGAAAATTTGATAAAGAACTAATTATATTACCAGTTTTGTATACTTAATCCAGAATTGCAGAAATGCATGTTTCAGTCCAAAAAATCCAGTGTTGTTAGAAAATGATAGACACATTTCAGGTTTTATGATGAAAACATTTTAAGCATTTAGTAGAAAAGGGGAAATATTGCAAGAACAATCTTTCAAATATAACAGATTTTAAGCTATAGCTTCACAGCAGACTGAAAGACAAACCTTTTAACAATCAAATTTTTATTGTTTTACAATTTTAGGATTTTGACCTCTATTGTTTACTTTGTTTTCTATATGTATCAGCAGAACAAAGAAACAACATTGTACATTTACTTGTATACTTATAACTATCGATGACATTCTAGGATCTCTTTCCTTATGATTGAGTCGTTTTATGCGTGTGACAACCCTGTTGTTGTTTCTTGAATGTTTTTTAGTTCAAGGTTGACTTTCACTGTCTTAGCTTTCTGCAAGTGACTTTTTATGTTGTTTTATGTTTTATACCGTATGTTTCTTACAGAAATTACCGTCAGTCAAGAACTGAGACACCATCCCATCCAGGTGGTGTGAGCAGGGAGGCAAGAGATAGGCAAAAACAACGACACCGTGATCGTGGAGTGTATGCATCTAGTTCTTCAAAAGACAAAGATAGAAGAGAGCGGAGGGAGGACAGGCATAGTAGAGATAGGGATCGTCACAGACAAAGGGACAAAGGTAGACACAACAGAGCAATCAAATCATTAATGATCATAATAGGAATTTGTTTTATCTGTCTGGCATGAAAAAATCATTTACTTAAATGAATGTTCTCTTTACTTCTTTATACAGAGGTATGATATATATACAAAATGTAGTAATGTACCCATTTACATTCATGATTTCAAACATTTTGTCAAATACATAATGAGGTACTATTGTCTGAGAATAACTACTGATACATTTTTTGCTCACATGAGCCTGTACATTCATTTTTGGGAAATTTAAAAAAAAATTAAATATGAAATTCAAAATGACCACCATTACCAACAACATTAGAATCTATTTTGAAATAATAACTCAAACACTGTGAGAATGATATTGATAATTTTAGTATGAATGATCAGTAGATACTTCAGGATGAAAGGTGCTGGTTTTATATTCATCAGATATACGATATGGCCTACATAGCTGTAATCATTTGATAAGTTATGGATAATTGCATTCAGTTCTGTTTGTTAACAAAATAACTGGAGACTGTTACATATCTATGATTGTTCTTTAGGCAGTATGTTATTATTATGGATGTGAAGAGACTGATAAAATATGGGATCGTTACAATGAGCAGTTGAATTTTAATAATTTAATTTCAATTTAAAGATGACTGTATTTGTGTTCAGAACAAGAAAAAAAGAAGCTATTACAGTTTTATTAAGTAAAAAACTTAATTTTGATGAGTTACCATAAGCTTTATACAGTAAAAAAAATGTTGTATTCAAATAGATCGACGACAAAGAAGGGATGAGAGATCTGAACGAGGTGACAGAAGTCGTCGGAGTGATAGAGATTCAGAGAGGAGTCGACGTAGTTATCGTGACTGGGAGGAAACTCCAGAGAGATTCAGGGATGCTCCTCCAACTCCTGACTTTGGCGTTAAAGGTAATATAAATTGCATAGAAGGAGGGATATTTATTATAGGTAAACTGCTTAGTAGGAGGGATATTAAAAGTAAATTGCTTAGAATGAGGAATAATATAGGTAAACTGCTAAGCAGGAGGGATATTAAAAGTAAACTGCTAAATATGAGGGATGTAGGTAAACAGCCTAGTAAAAATGACATTCAGTTTTCTTATATCCAGATAAATAAGGATATTTCTACTATCTGGTTCAAATCTCATACTTAGTCATACCATAGCTTTAATTAACACTCTTGTCACATTGTTATAGCAAACAAAATATGTGAAATATATGATGTTGAAAGATATCTCAGATTTACTTCTTTTCATAAAGTGTAAAATAAGTGAAAGTTATGGCCATTTATATGGAACAGTGGTATAATTTATAATTTGGACATTCTGTTTGGCAGACACACCATCTGAGTATGGTTGGGATGATGATGATGTGACACCCTTAAAGAGATCCTCTTGGGATCTACCAACACCCAGGGTCAGCAGTGGTAGTGATGGTGAGAGTAGTGTCAGAAGCAATCGGTCATCTTATGACAAAAGGTTAGTATGATTATTCCTTTTCTATCATAACTGATTAAACTCAGTTGGTTAGATATGTGTTATATTGAATATGAAAAATATTAAGTCTAAAAACTACTGGATAAAGAAAACTTACCGGAGATGAATATTTTATCATAAGATCAGAACTACGCTTCCACACTAGGATTTTTACAGGCTTATGAATACATGTATAGAGTAAACAGGGAAGCAGTTACTTGTGTTATTGGTTGCGTATGAATGACACAGAGCAAAATGGATGTGAGTTATTTTAAATCACCCTAAGGAGTGGTACCAAGTGGTGTTGTGTGTGATATGATAAACCTCAACAATTTTAATCTGTAGAAATTTTCTGCATAGTTTTTGGTATACATGTTTATGATATATGTATTACAGGAGCAAACGGGGTCCTAAAGAGACTCCTCTACCAACCCCGAGTTACAAGTACAATGAATGGATGGACAACAAGAAGAAGATACAGTATACACCCAAGGATGGTGGTAGTAGACGAGGTACAGCTTAGTCATATATTGTCAAGAGATTTAAATTAATTTATCAAGCAGTTCAAAGAGTCCCTCGAACAGTTTTGCATTTCAGTTCACCTGAGCAATGCCAGAATGGCTAATTTGTAGATATTTAAGAAAAAATCTTTTTTCTGCAAGACAGAGAAACTGTAAAATCGAAATCTCTCCATGGTTGAAAAGTCCCAAGGTGCTTCATTAACATTGTAAATTTCAGAAGCATTAGATCCCTTGTTTTCCTGCAAGGGAGCGAGTAAATTTTATTATATTGGATATTGGAAAGTAATAATTTTGGCCATACATGTATTTTGTTTATTTTCAATGAAAAATATTTCACTGTTATCGTAGATTTTTTGTCATCAGTTGAAAATTTGTTCATATAAAAATAAGATGTGGACCTCAGCCATTGGGCCGGAAGGGCAGGGTTCAAGGTGGGAAATATTGCTGATATACTTAAAAACTATTCTTTTCCAGAGTGAAATACTTGGAGTTATTTTTGTTTATTTTTGATAAAGGTAATTCTATATTGCTTGGAAGTATTGTACTCGGGTAACAGCTTAATAATATGAAAAATAAGACCCAACTCACAGCAAACTTAAACAACTATGATTATATTTGAACTAGGGTGATTATTAAGGCCCATGGGCATCTTGTTTTGAGTGCAACATGTAATATCATTTACACATACACACCCTAGCTGAAGATGGATGTGGACTATCAAATTGAATGTTTCATATCTTGGCACATGAAATTAAGAATATGAACACCTTTGAAAAATTGAAAATTCAAAAAGCAAAACATTAAGTTTCGTATAAAATCTTTGCACAGCATAATACACATTTTTAGATAGTGGGTAAAACAAATGTCAACAATTTGCTATAGAAAATTTCACTTCAATTCCATAGAAAATTGTGGTGACCTTGAATTTGAGTCAGAAGAAGCGAGGTTAGATTGGGAAAATGAGCAGAAAAGGCTTGATCGTGAATGGTACGGTATGGACGAAGGATACGACGATAACCATAATCCATTCTCAGGCACGTCGGAGGAGTACACACGCAAAAAGGAAGAGGAGATGGAAAAAAAGAAGAAGAAGAGAATGACTGCCAGACAAAGACAGATCAATAAGGTTTATCCTTGGTTGTTAATTTGATCAATTCTGTTTGAACATTAGATTGGCCATAATTTTTTTTTTCCCAAACAAGAATGATTTTCAAACACAAAATCTTTCGGAGCTTACGACACAAATAGATCTGCAAATTGTTGCTTGGCAAAACCCATATTCCTATTTGTATCTAAATAATTCAAAATAAGGCAAATCACAGGCTCTCTAACTATCCTATCATAATGATGTAAATATTGAGGATCCCTAAAATCTTTCTTCCTGTCTAACGATAAAAAGAATTGTGTCATTTGAAGTACATAAAATTACTGTGTAATGCAAAATGTCTGAATTAAAACCATAGCTGCCTGAAACCATATGTAGATAATACACATATTCAGCAATGCACATATGTTCAGCAATGTATATTTTAAAAATATTGACGGATGATCAATATTTAATTATTTCCTCTGTTTTGATCAGGATATAGAGCTATGGGAGACCAACAGGATGCTCAGAAGTGGAGTTGTTACTAAGACTGATTATGATGAAGATTTTGATGATGAAAATGAAGCAAAAGTGCATCTTCTAGTCCATAATATTGTGCCACCATTTCTTGATGGTCGCATTGTATTTACCAAACAACCAGAGCCAGTTGTTCCAGTTAAGGTAGAGAAAATTGAGATCAATTATCAAATTGTTTAGAAAAATGTAATGTTTTGTATATATTTACATATATTGCAGTCTTGCCAGTATCTGGGAAAATCATGTTGTAACTTTACCAACAATTTTCTTCTGGTTAAAGAAATTTAGATGCATCTGTATCAACCTTATTTAGAAATACTTAAAAACAAAAACATATTAAGCCATTAAAATAATGTTCCAGTAAGTCTATCTTATCTTAGACTAACTAAATCATGATTTAAAAAGACCTTTGCTGACATGTGATTATCTTCCATTCATTTATTTAGATTATATTTTCTCTATCATGATGATTGAATTTTTATCAGGATCCAACATCAGATCTGGCTCAAGTGGCCAGAAAGGGAAGCTTGGTTGTTAGAAAATTCAGAGAACAAAAGGAAAAACGTAAAGCTCAACAGAAACACTGGGAAGTGGCAGGAACAAAGATTGGAGACATTATGGGGATAAAGAAGAAAGAGGAGGAGGTCAGTTATTCCTTTGTCAGAGAGTAGCTATTTTTAGCAGCCATGATATTAATTTCATTTTGAATGTATTTAGAAATTTCAGCTTGTGTTGAGCTTGTGCAGTTTATTTTTATCTTCAATTAACTTAATTTCAAGTCATTGAATGTCAGTAGTGAATATCTTTTAAATAATTATTAATGTTAAAATCTCTAAAATTGTTAAATTATGAATAAAAATGATATTGAGATTATCAACGATAATTCATGAATGAAAAATCATAACTTCCATTTGATTTTTGTCATTTACCTGTACTACTTACATGAAAATTCATGGACAGTTTTTTGATAGGATCTCTTCTCATCTCTGTTGTTTATTATCACAAGATTTTACCCTTGTTCTTTAAATATCTCCAGTAAAATTCTTAAAGTTTTCGATATGCTAAGACTCAAGTTTGAACAAGTTATCAAGAATCTTTGTAAATGGTATTAATTGTCCCAATTTCTTTCCTAGTTATCAATCAGATATACTGTCTGCTTAACTTTACACCTAATAATATACAAAACAAATCACAGCTATGTGTTATCTGATAAACATAATTTGTTTGTCTTTAGGAAGACAAGGTAGATGATAAAGGTGAACTGGACTATAAGGCTGACCACAAGTTTGCAGATCTTTTACAAGAGAAAACTACAGCAGTGAGTGAATTTGCGAAGGCAAAATCTCTGTCCGACCAGAGAAAATACTTGCCTATATATGCAGTCAGAAATGAGGTAAGAAATCTTGTGAACTTCATGTTATATAGAAGGATACATTTTAAAGCATTCCCAATTTTTTCCCACCTAGGCAATTTGCTAAAGTTTCAGTAAAGCTATGCTTTCATTTTGTAAATTAAATGTACAGTGCTTCAGAGGCAAATTTTCATCAAGAGAGGGTTTTCTATAATATAATATTGCTGATAAAACTACTTGTGATGTCATCTGTGTCCAATGAATTATAATTTTGTCTGCCTATTAATGTGTTGAAGCTTAACATGCAGGTTGTCATAATAACAATTCATTGTACATGTTGCAATAAATTTAGTGATCAAATTCTTAATTAATATCATTAAGTTAATTGATTAGATTGTAGCAGTTGGAATCTTGATTTGTTTAAAAACATTTCCAGCTGAAATAGATGCTATGTAATCAGGAAAATGTTAATGATTTAGAGATTTATTCCAGCATAACATGTGTCCTATCCCAGGACTTCACCTTTGATTTACTCAGAATTAACAAATACGAAAGCAAATGAAGTTTTATACTTCAATATAATGAAACACTGACAGTAGTATTAACATATATGGAAGTAGTGTTTGTTTAAGTGTCCTGAATCATTCAAATAAATTTGAATCTTTGTGAGGAAGTGAGCTTAGGTGCAGAATGAGCTTAGGTGCAGAATGAGCTTAGGTGCAGAATGAGCTTATGTGCAGAATCTTATTTAAAGCATGACATCATGTGTACAAATTAAATAATTTAACCTTTGATTGGGGGTTGCCAAGTGGTTGAGGCATCGGATCATCTCTATCACTAGCCTCCACCTCTGATTCATGGGTTTAAGACCTACTATAGGCTGTCACCTGTTACTAGCATTATCCACTATCAAAGCCTGGCACATCCTTAAATGACCCTGGCTGTTCATAACATGTAAAACAAAAATAAACGAAGTCAATTTTGACTCAAATCATTAAAATGTGTCCTGTGTTAGTCAAAATAAGACAAAAAATTAGGACATTTCTATTGTAATTCTGAAAATGTAATTTTAAATCTGGACAATTGTTTCTTGTAGTTACTGAATGTGATTCGTGATAACAGCATCATCATCATCGTTGGAGAAACAGGATCTGGAAAAACCACTCAGCTGACACAAGTATGACCAAATTTCTATCACTGATTCTGTATAACTCTATCCTATAGAACTTGTATTACTTCTTTCTTAAGATTGAAAACAAGAAATCTTCATTGTTTTGTTCATAGTACTGGTAGCGCAAAAATTTATCATGCTAGTATGAATTCAAAGATTAAAAACTGGTGATTCAACAGTGAAAATGGTTATTGGGAAATGTTTTTGAAAATAGTATGTAAATAATTTCATACCATTCTCTGTTGAATTGCCTTCTCTATGTCAGTAAACATATCAGCTGGAATGCTTTGTACATTAATAAGTGCCAAGCATTTAAACTCATTCATTTCAACTGAATTATATACCATATTTAGCAATCAATAAGACAAACAGAAGCATTTCCAACATGCACTTGCATTGTCCTGTAATAAGCCCCCCCCAAACCCCCCAACCTCAACTTTGAGTAAGAGGAAATGTGTTGGTTCTTATAGTTTATTGTAGAATAAATGTGGTAGAGCAAATAAAAGTAAAAACAAAAAAGAATTCTAAGAAATTGAAGCTATAAATTGGTAATTAAGTTGTTTTCTTTTTAAAAAAAAAACAAAAATTAAAGTGTAGATTTCACAGCTTAAACTATTATTCAGTGACTTTAGCAGTCCTGTCAGTAACTTTATATTTTAATACAGTACTTACATGAGGATGGCTACACCAACTATGGTATGGTTGGCTGCACACAGCCACGTAGGGTAGCTGCCATGTCTGTAGCCAAGCGAGTGTCAGAGGAGATGAAGGCCAAGCTAGGTGAAGAGGTGGGATATGCCATACGATTTGAAGACTGTACTACTGAGGTAGGTGTTTACTTTAGTGTACTGTCATTATCATGTTAAGTTTGCTGTTTTAACATTTTTTTATTTTTCCAAAAGTGTGAAGCAAAGAGAATGCATTCTTCATGGAATGGCCATGAAACATGCTACAATATTACAGGGGTCAACATTTCCCTTTAAACTACTTCTCAATAACCAAAAGGCTCTGTGTACTGATATTGGGCATGAAGTATGCAAGGATGAAAGGGTATCAAGTTTGTTCAATAAAATAACTTTGACCAACTTTCGTGGTAACAGTGGTTACATGTGTTAATACTGTAATCAAGGATCTGATGTTTGGGATGAGTTATCTGAATAAACTTTTGACATCACGTCCTATCATAAGCTTTAAATCAGGTTAGTGATGCAGGCCCATTGTTTCTCTTGTTTGTAATTTTAGGCCATCCTCAAAAAAAGTTTTTTTTTAAAAAAGTAAGATTTATATTCTCAAGGCTTTTTCCTCTCATTTGTGAATGGGCATTTTTATGTCATTTCAGGCAAAAATCATCTGAAAAATATATTTTGGGAATTTGGAGATATTAAGAAATAAGTCCTATTGGGAATGGGGACAATATTAGGTCCCACTGAGCCCCTGAAAAAGACCTGTGTATTACCCTTACTTCTCCCATTTTATGGAGAAAACAGTATTTTTACATTGAGTTAATAATAATGTTAGGACACTGATAGCAGGTAGTTACTTTTATCATTAATCTTTACAATGTGTTCTGTTATAGAAAACCATTATAAAGTACATGACAGATGGTATTCTGCTTCGAGAGTCTCTCCGTGAATCGGATTTGGACCATTACAGTGCCATTATCATGGACGAAGCTCATGAGAGATCACTCAACACAGATGTTCTGTTTGGTTTGTTACGAGAGGTAGGTTATATCACTTTAAAGGTGATGGTTCAGTTATTCAAAATTTAACTGTTTTTCATGATGTTAATCACGTTGCACCTTCCAGCATCCATTCAGTTTAGAGGACTCTCAGACATGATGTATTTGATTTGGTGAATTCTTATTTGATGATGTTACTAACTTGGGAATAAATCTTAATGAAATTATCATTGGTAAAATGGTATATATTACTTTCAGTTGATAGCAAAATGTGAAGTAATGATGAAAGGTGACAGAAAGTGCAGGAAGTTTATTATCCTGCATTGATTCCTAATATTTAAAACATTGTTTTATGTCAAGTTCAGAATTTCCTTTCTTGCTGTCTTTCAGGTGATTTCTAGACGTCATGATTTGAAATTGATTGTTACCTCTGCCACTATGGATTCAAGCAAGTTTTCTAAATTCTTTGGTAATGTGCCTGTGTTTGAGATCCCTGGTAGGACATTTCCTGTAGAACTGTTCTTCAGTAAGAACACAGTGGAGGATTATGTGGACTCAGCGGTCAAGCAGGCATTACAGGTCCATCTTCAGGGGATGGATGGGGATATACTGATCTTCATGCCTGGACAAGAAGATATTGAAGTGACCTGTGAATTAATCACAGGTAAACCTTACACTGTTAATCTATATTCTCTGATAAATCTAAATGAGATAGGAATTAAAGGAGTACTGTTCTTTTATGTCACTATCACCTGAATTATTGTAAATATGTAAGTTATCTGTTGGATTCATTGCTGTTTGTAGTGTATCTGTTAAGGTGTTGCAATGAAACCCACTCATTATGATATTCTATTGAACAGAAAAGAATATAATAATTGGTATACTATAAATGTGGAAAGTTATTCTGAAGGAAATTTACACTAAATATGTTAAATATTTTGTTTAGTCATGTAAATTTCACCCTTTGCCTATGTTTTTGTTATGTATAACCTATATAGTGAAATAAACTTTTGATATGTGAACATTGATTGAGGAAATAGCCCCCATCAGTACAGTTTGCTTATCGACACTGGGAAATTAACCACCTGCAGAAGTAACCACGTTTGATTTTGAAAATATTGATTATTGCAAGTAAATCACTACACAATTGTAAATATGACACTGGTGTGAACATCAAGCTATTTCTGGCACCATACTGTTGTGTCTAGATAACGAAATGTTAAACTGAACTCTAGCAGATTAATGGATGTTGTGTGGTTATTAAAAATACAACACTTGTTAAATAGGAGAATTTTCTGATCTAACAATCATTGCTTATATCAGTATCTTTGCACTGTACCAATTTGATACTAAATAGCTGTTAGAAAAAATTGATAGCCAGTTTATACTTCCCAATATCTATTTCTGTTTGAATGTTTTGACTTATTTATCTAATCTGTAGAGTCTATGAATTACAAAGGTAGGCAACTTAATCTATTGTTTACTGACAGCGAGGGGTTAAACTTACTGTGAACAAGTGGGACAGGCTACCTTGGGGTGCTTGGGGTGATAATTAGTGGATAATTAGTGTCTACAAGGAACAGCCCAGGTGTCAGATACGGACACTTTTAATAGCCTAGGGTTACAGCTTATGAAAGAACAGAAAAATATATAATAACCAATATATCATGCTGTACTTTATCGTAATATCTATATCATAATTATAACATTTTATCTTAAATTTTTGATAAAGGGAATATTTGGTACTTGGAAAAAATATGATAAGAGGTATAATATAACATCAGATGTTATAATGATGAGTAGGTTCCACTGTACAACCACCAAACTTGATAGGGAGTTATGTAAGGAAATGATTAAAGTGCTGCATGTGTTGATGGACCATTTCTTTTCTATTTTTCTATGACCTTAACGAGCAGTAAAAGGACAAACTTATGACATCTACCATGATAAATTTCAGATGATGAACCAGCAATTTGGTGTTACAATATTATTATATTAATACAGGCAACTATTTGGTATTTTTAATGACACTGAGTAACTTAAAATTTTGAGATTCAGACTTGAAAAGAAGAAATTGGGGAAGATCAGAATATTTGTCCATTTATTTCTAGCAGAAATATTTGTGAAAAAAAGTTCGCCAAAATTTGTAAATTCATGGTCAAACTTGTAAGAACCTGAAATTTTTTCTGAATATATGAAAGATACAAGAAAAAGTTAAACTTTTTAAAGTAAGGAATGTTTCAGTCACTCGGTACGTTTGAAGTTTATACATTCAATGAGTGAGCAATCTTGCTAAGGACTAGATTGTGCCTATGCCGGCCAATGTTTTATTGTATTAACCTGTTGTAGAACGCCTCGGTGAGCTGGATGATGCTCCTCCACTTGCCATCCTGCCCATCTACTCCCAACTTCCCAGTGACCTTCAAGCTAAGATATTCCAAAAGGCTCCAGATGGTGTGAGAAAGTGTGTGGTGGCTACTAATATAGCAGAGACCTCACTTACAGGTAGGTACAAAAATCAAAATACTTTAGCAAATAATGAAGCATTTCATTAAAGGATTAAAATAATTGACGACTAGCTTCTCTTCAAGATGGTTAGAATAGCTGTTATCTGTTATGCTATATTTGTGAAGTATTTCTCTATTATTTATTCTTAAGTTTTGCTGTTTTAGTGTGATTGATGGGTTTAATATGGTGTGTGAAACAATTGCCAGGACACTTCAATCAAATTCGATGATAATTTACATGTGAGTTTTGTAACACAATTTTTTTTTCTCTCTCTCTTTTTCCTAATATTATGGTTAAATTCTGGTTTTATTTATTTAGTTGATGGTATTATGTTTGTGGTGGATGCTGGATACTGTAAACTAAAAGTATTCAACCCAAAGATTGGTATGGATGCTCTGTCAATCTACCCCATAAGTCAGGTAATTATACATACATATATAGGACATTTAAATCCTGTCATTCATGATATAGAAACAACATCTGATTAGTTTTAGAAGCCACAGTTTGTCTGTTCTTACTATATGTTCATCATGCATGGAAAGCCATATTTCAGTTTGTGTATGTGGCAATGTTTTTTAATAATTGACCATTGTTATAATCTGATTATGAATCAGGATCTTTTACTTTATTCAGACTTATGCATGGTTACAACTGCCACATATTTGTTTTATCTGGTACACCCAGTTTTGAGTAAAGACTTTTCTACTTAGCTGTTTACTGATTCTGCTTGTAGGCCAATGCCAACCAGAGATCAGGAAGGGCAGGAAGGACAGGTCCAGGGTATGTACAACACTGAACATAGAAATCATCCTCCTTTTAACATAACAGTTATACCTTTTACTAAAGAAAAATGTTGTTGAATTAGAATGATAAGTTTACACTACGTGTAGACACTGCTAATGCTTATCATACATATTGATATTAAAAATCTATACATGTACACCCAGAGACAGTATATTATGTGTCGTATTACATTCACTGCTATCGTCTGTACACACAGAGACAGTATATTATGTGTTGTTTACAGTCACTGCTATCGTCTGTACACCCAGAGACAGTATATTATGTGTTGTTTACAGACACTGCTATCGTCTGTACACCCAGAGACAGTATATTATGTGTTGTTTACAGACACTGCTATCGTCTGTACACCCAGAGACAGTATATTATGTGTTGTAGTACAGTCACTGCTATCGTCTGTACACCCAGAGACAGTATATTATGTGTTGTTTACAGTCACTGCTATTGTCTGTACACCCAGAGACAGTAAATTATGTGTTGTTTACAGTCACTGCTATCGTCTGTACACCCAGAGACAGTATATTATGTGTTGTAGTACAGTCACTGCTATCGTCTGTACACACAGAGACAGTATATTATGTGTTGTAGTACAGTCACTGCTATTGTCTGTACACCCAGAGACAGTATATTATGTGTTGTTTACAGTCACTGCTATCGCCTGTACACCCAGAGACAGTACAAGAATGAGATGCTCACCTCTACAGTTCCGGAGATACAGAGGACTAACCTAGCTAATGTTGTTCTTCTCCTGAAGTCTCTCGGAGTACAGAATCTGCTTCAGTTCCATTTTATGGATCCCCCTCCTCAGGTGTGTGTTTATACTATTCCTCTTCAATATGTGTTCAAATTTTTGGTAGCCTAAAGTCTTTTCCCCCCAAGAGCTCCAATGTTTATGTCCTCGCCATTATGCTGGGGTTGTAAGGAAGGTGTTATATGTTATATATCTCTGTCCTTTCTTACTTTATACTTATCCAACAATTAATTATAAAGGTGATCATCATTCAGCTTGAAAGGGTCAAAGGTTGCATTTTGTAACATCTGCAAATTCGTCTAGCAATGAAACTTTACATGGGTAGGAACAATTTTGCACACATTTATTTCATATTTACTAATGTTTTTACATGACAGTGAGAACTGTCAAAACTAGATTTCTTATAAATAAGAGCTTTTTTAGATCATTCTATGATTGACATTGTTATGCATCAAACAATAAGATCCCCTACTCTGCTCCATCTGGGCCAAAAAGTGGTGTATATCTTGTTTTGCAATTGTTTTAAAATAAATAAAATTTCATATTTATATAGTTGATGTTGAACCATGGACAAAGTACCATCTGTTCAGATTTGAAATTTATATTACTGTTTCTGAGATTGTTTTCTGAGATTGGTTAGCTAAACATCTACATCATACAGACTAACTGATGAGAGAGAGTGTGGAAATATGTTTTCTGAGATTACTTAGCTAATCATCTACATCATACAGACTAACTGATGAGAGAGAGTGTGGAAATATGTTTTCTGAGATTACTTAGCTAATCATCTACATCATACAGACTAACTGATGAGAGAGAGTGTGGAAATATGTTTTCTGAGATTAGTTAGCTAATCATCTACATCATACAGACTAACTGATGAGAGAGAGTGTGGAAATATGTTTTCTGAGATTACTTAGCTAATCATTTACATCATACAGACTAACTGATGAGAGAGAGCGTGGAAATATGTTTTCTGAGATTAGTTAGCTAATCATCTACATCATACAGACTAACTGATGAGAGAGAGTGTGGAAATATGTTTTCTGAGATTAGTTAGCTAATCATTTACATCATACAGACTAACTGATGAGAGAGAGTGTGGAAATATGTTTTCTGAGATTACTTAGCTAATCATTTACATCATACAGACTAACTGATGAGAGAGAGCGTGGAAATATGTTTTCTGAGATTGGTTAGCTAATCATCTACATCATACAGACTAACTGATGAGAAAGAGCGTGGGAATATTATAAATACTCCCTGATCTATTTGTACTACACCTGCCCAACATATATTGAAACACATATTGATCAGTTACAAAGACATTGACAAGTTACAATGAACATGATAGGGTTCCAGAGTGTTTGTGAATCAAAGAATTCCCACAATGCTCTTTGTGTCTCTGCATCAGATACTTATTTAACACTTGTTTGAAATCAATATTTTTACAGGACAACATCCTGAATTCCATGTATCAGTTATGGATCCTTGGTGCTTTAGACAACACAGGATCTCTGACACCACTTGGTCGACAAATGGTCGAGTTTCCACTTGATCCAGCTCTATCTAAGATGTTGATTATCTCCCTTGAGATGTGCTGCAGTGCAGAAATTTTAGTGAGTAGTCTTTATAATTTGTCCTGTATTTACCCTACACGGGGCTCAAATAGAAATTCCGGTCAGGTAAATGGTGTTTGTAGGTAATTCTGCTGAATGGTAATAGATATGCAAGGGCTTATTACCAGGCATGGGCTTATTACCAGACATGGGCTTATTGCTGATAAACATAATAGAACACAGAACAAATAGTAATGTGTATCTTAAATATGGGAGGAATTTATATTATTTTCTTTTTCTTCACAACTTGTCTAGCCTTATGCGTCTTGATAATGTATGCTGAGTTATGATTGTAGTAAAATTGATATTTCTACATAGTAAATGGTTAGATGTTACAGTAACTACAACAAAAAAAGAGATGTTCCTTTGACTTTTCCTTTGAATTTAACGTAAGTTTGTAGATTGAAAATAGATTTGTTGTGTTCTTGTGTGTGTAAGATTCCTGCTTCATTACAGTCTCTCCAAGTGTGAAAGTGGGTCTCTCATAATATTTGTAAATGACAAATCTTAGAAGCAGTTACAAATTGCAGTAGTAAGTTATTTGTAGTCATCAATATAGGAGTTTAAAAACATTACTGATAATCACATATCTTTATCTTGACCATTCTGTTACTAAAAACTTAATTTTTTATTATTATTTCTTGAGGGGATGGAGTGGGGGAGGGGTAGAGGTTGTATTTTGTTTTTCCAATTCCGCCATATTTATCAGTGTATGGATTTCTATGAAACTTTGCAAGGCAGTTGTCAGCTACACTTGTTATTAATAGTTTAATTTGATAAGTTGTCAAATCAATATTTACAACTATAGTATTAGTTTGAAAATAACCCTTACCCACCTCCAATGTTCCCCAATGCCCTATATATTCTGGATTATAATGCAAATAATGATTATGTTTGGCATTTATCAAAATAGGAAATATTCATTGCATTAGAAAAAAAAAGAAGAAAAAACACATATTATCCAAAGGTTTCTTATTTTGGTGATGGAAAGAGGTCGTAATATGTCCAAAATTTTCAATGTTCTTGAAATGCATAAAATATGCATAAACTATCAATTCTTCATGAACCAAAGCCGTACTGTACCTGTATTTGTTCTAACTTCAAAATCAAATTTATTCAAGCATTTTCTACACACTCCAGTAAATACCTTCTCCCTGACATTATTGTTCTACATAAATTACATATGTATACTGTAAAATTATTAATATTTGTGAGGGATTTATTTTTGTTGGTCTGGGAGTATTCACACAAATTCATCATGTCACAAACTGTTAAATCAAGTATAAGTGGATTTATTGAGCTATACTTATTCACAAAACCAAGTGTATATAAAAAAGTGTTTATTAAAAAAACCATGAAGATTGAGCTCCACAAAAACGTTTAAAGTATATACAAAGTATTAAAACATTTAATACTATACAAGTATTGTCAATTGTTCAATCTTTGAATACCAAATCAATGGAGGAGAAAAATCATCAAATATGGAAAGAAATTTCTTGATTAATTTAAGTCCTGTAGTAATATTATAAAATGTACAATGAAATCTCTTAATAAGTCTAACATACAATGTAATTCAAAGTGGACAGTCTGACATTGCAACAGATTAGAAAACTTTTATTTTATGTGTATATAAAGGTAACAGCATCATTTTGATATTTTTAAAATTGTAGCCTGACAAAACCTTAATATCTTTTTTAGCTGCACTATGACAATGCTTATAAAAATACACAGAATGTGACAAGAAAATCTTTTCAATACAAGTATGTTGTATGTCAATTTTGAAAGATTACATTCCAACAAAGTGCTCCCACAGGATTTGACCCAAGAGCCTTGCCATGATAATCCACAGCTCTACCAACTGAGCCAAAAAAGCATGTACTAGAAGCTGAATGACAGAAACTATATCTAGCACCATGTACAAGCCGTGCTGGTCCACTCCTTTAACACAAATAATCATTTAAAAAGACCCAACTTGAAAATAAATATGTTTGTATCAAAATACAAGTTCAATTTTTCATTTTTCCAATACACAAGAATGGCATTTAGAATTTGACTGTTATGAAAATCCTGAGTATATGACAAAACATACAACTACTAAGAGAAAAAAAGTTGTTCATACTGCAATACTCTATCAAAGAAGCTTAGTGAAACCACACAAGAAGTGACTCTTCCTTAGCCAAAATAGCCTTTGTTATAAGATCTTGTATAGACCAATAGCAGAATGGCTTAGATTAATGTGATGAGATGGCACCATACTTTGGATCATGTGTTACAGGTATTTTAGTTATGTATATGGTAGATTCAGGCTCCTTAGCTGTAATTTTCTCCCCATCTACAAAGCTTGGGTTAAGCGTTCCCGACTCTGCTGCTGCAGGCTCTGACGCCGTACTTGTCACTGGGGGTAATGTCTTTGAGGGTGCGAAGGAAAGGGTCGAGTTGGTGGTTGACTTTTTCTCATCAGTTTGACGACTGTCCTTTTCAGCTTTGGTTCCAGACTCAGCATCAGTTTTATTTGCATCAAAATTAAGTTCTTCTTGTATATGTAAATATTGGTTGATGTTTCTGCGATCAAGTCGTATGATACAGAACAGTATGGCCATGAATGGTACAATGAAGACAACTCCAGCCAGTATCCCAACTATAATCTGTGAGGAGAAGATATGAATTGTCTTGCAGTCTTCCTTACCGACTATGGTATCATTATACAGTAAAACCTGTACACAGACCTTAAAGTTACCCGACTTCACATCAGACCCTTGTACAGAGTGAGATAATGTATCTGGGTGCAGAATGGCAGACTTGTACAATGGCTCATCATCAGAGCTGACTATCACAACAAATCCATACAAAATTGTTGTGTTTGGCGAGTCCCATTCCAGGACAATGTTCTCACTTTCAGCTGATGTGATGATTACCCTAAATTCGGAGATGATAGGCAGTTGAACTGGTTGGATTTCTGCACACATGTTTGTTGTTAATAAAATGCTGGTAATGTTACACATTCGAGCTCCGAAATCTGATAAATTGACAGTCATGCCATTTTCTAGACAGTCCCAGTTTGGTTTTGTCCCATGCACCTCATGCACTAAGCCATCATCGCGATTTGCCTCCACCCAGAAAGATAGGCTGAAGAAATCACAGGTACACTCCAAATCATTGTCATTAAGATTCAGGCTTTCAAGGTCATTCAGAAGCTGGAATTTACAAACATCAATTGTCTTTATCCTATTGGATTCCAATCTCATGGCAGACATGTGTTCTGGAAACTCTACATCACTGATGGCTTCAAAGTTTGGGTTTTTTGACATGATCAGATTTCTCAGATTTGGAAAAGTTAGAAGAGATCTTGAGTCAAAGTTTGTTATATTGTTAGAATTCAGGTTAATTTCCCTAAGTGTTGGCATGGTTACACCCGGTGTTGTCAAAACTACATCAGTTATGCTATTGTTTGAAAGATCTAATTTCCTTAGACTTTTAAAACCTGATAAATCCAAAATGTTGAGAGAGACCAGCCGGTTCAATGATAGATTTATCTCTGTGGTTTTAGATAATTGATTCAAGGCCTTTGGTATAGAGGTAAAATGGTTACTGCTGACATCTAAAACGGATATTGTGTGAAAGCCGTCAAAGTAATCATCAGGTAGATCTATCAAGCTGTTGTTTGGTATTCCAAAATATTGAATGATCCATGATGGTTGTAACTTGTCCAATGGTGTGGACAATATCTTTGTAACATTGAAAGGATCAGGATACAGGCATGAGATGTAGACTTGGTTGGATTGGGTTGTACATTCACAATATGCCGACAGATCATTTGGACAGATTGAATTGGATGCTACAATGTTGCTTCCAAGCAGGATTATAAATGCTTCCACTGATAACCACCTCATGACTTATCTAAAAAACAAAACAAATCAAAAAATCAGAACAAGGTTTTTGCTGTGTTGATATTTTGTTAATGAAAAAAATCCATGGTGTGATTTTTGTCAAAGACAGAATTTGATGTTCAAATAGTTTACAATGATCTAGCTGTGAAACCCTCTGTTTTTTTTTTTTTTTTTTTTGTGTGATTTGAAGTTAAATGTGTTAAATGCTCTTTAGTTTGTCTGGTGGTTCCAGTGTTCTTGACCTTGTTCTCATCGGGGAACATGACGTTATTCACTTGAATACACATGTGGCATCAATAGCAATGTTTATGTTTGGTAATGTGCAAAGGTTTGGTAAATGTGATATCAATAACATTATTTCTGTACTGTGAGGTGTAAAGTCTTTGTGACACCAATAGCATTATTTCTGTAATATGAGGTGTAAAGTCTTTGTGACACCAATAGCATTATTTCTGTATTGTTGGATGTAAAGTCTTTGTGACACCAATAGCATTATTTCTGTATTGTTGGGTGTAAAGTCTTTGTGACACCAATAGCATTATTTCTGTATTGTTGGGTGTAAAGTCTTTGTGACACCAATAACATTATTTCTGTACTGTGAGGTGTAAAGTCTTTGTGACACCAATAGCATTATTTCTGTACTGTGAGATGTAAAGTCTTTGTGACACCAATAGCATTATTTCTGTACTGTGAGATGTAAAGTCTTTGTGACACCAATAACATTATTTCTGTACTGTGAGGTGTAAAGTCTTTGTGACACCAATAGCATTATTTCTGTACTGTGAGATGTAAAGTCTTTGTGACACCAATAGCATTATTTCTGTACTGTGAGATGTAAAGTCTTTGTGACACCAATAGCATTATTTCTGTACTGTGAGATGTAAAGTCTTTGTGACACCAATAACATTATTTCTGTACTGTTTGGTGTAAAGTCTTTGTGACACCAATAGCATTATTTCTGTACTATGAGGTGTAAAGTCTTTGTGACACCAATAGCATTATTTCTGTACTGTGAGGTGTAAAGTCTTTGTGACACCAATAGCATTATTTCTGTACTGTGAGATGTAAAATCTTTGTGACACCAATAGCATTATATCTGTACTGTGAGGTGTAAAGTCTTTGTGACACCAATAGCATTATTTCTGTACTGTGAGATGTAAAGTCTTTGTGACACCAATAACATTATTTCTGTACTATGAGGTGTAAAGTCTTTGTGACACCAATAGCATTATTTCTGTACTGTGAGGTGTAAAGTCTTTGTGACACCAATAACATTATTTCTGTACTGTGAGGTGTTAAGTCTTTGTGACACCAATAACATTATTTCTGTATTGTTGGGTGTAAAGTCTTTGTGACACCAATAACATTATTTCTGTACTGTGAGATGTAAAGTCTTTGTGACACCAATAGCATTATATCTGTACTGTGAGGTGTAAAGTCTTTGTGACACCAATAGCATTATTTCTGTACTGTGAGATGTAAAGTCTTTGTGACACCAATAGCATTATTTCTGTACTGTGAGATGTAAAGTCTTTGTGACACCAATAGCATTATTTCTGTATTGTTGGGTGTAAAGTCTTTGTGACACCAATAACATTATTTCTGTACTGTGAGGTGTAAAGTCTTTGTGACACCAATAACATTATTTCTGTACTGTGAGGTGTAAAGTCTTTGTGACACCAATAGCATTATTTCTGTACTGTGAGGTCTTTTGTTATGAATGTTTTGACCTCTCTGTACTACCCAAGTATAAAAAACCTTTTAATATATGAAGATCTTAATACCTATCTGACCACTCTTCCCCACAGGATATTTCTGTAATTAGGTCATTTTAAATTCTTGTCCTCCGATTCAACACATCCTACATCTTATTATAGGGCACAGGTGATAGGGTTATGCATGAATGAGGACAACAGGTTTTAGCATTTATGCATGTTTATCTCATTTTGTAGGTCAAATTAGTGCCGTGTGTTGGGTAGTTAAGGGTGGTGTTCAAAGCTAAGGTCAATGGTTCCTGGGTGTGCATACTGTCTGAAGGACATTGTAAAACAATATAGGCTCATTTCATGTATTCTTTAGAAAATGTTGGAAGTTTTTCCTTTAGGTCATGATTCATCAAAAATTTGTAGAGTTATTATAAATATTAGTAACTAATATCATTTCAAAGTGTTTTAATTTACTAGCAGTAATTCATCACTCAAATTTCAAATTAGTCTTTATCTTACATATAGTATTGAACAGAATGTTACATTGTAGTGATTATCAAAGATTTTGATCTAAAATACTTCCTGCAGTCATCGCCTTGACAATTTTTTTGTTTATTTGAATTGTGTTTAGAAAATAAATACTTTTTTTCATGTTTATGTGATGATGCAGAGTGTATAAGTACACTTACCGCTAACACTGGTGGGCTTGATTCCCAGTATTACTGTAATGATTTACATATATAGATTCCCAAAAGGCAAGCTTTCCATTCAACCGTTTCATTTACTTTTGAGACTAAATGTATAAGTATGTGGATCTAAATAACGCTAAGGGTGGTGTTCACAGCTGAAGGCCAAGGTGGTGTGCAAAACATATCAACATCCATTTGTATGTGTACGGAAAGAAACCTCTTTGTTTATCATTCACTTGTAGTACTGAGGTCAGAGGTATATCAGCTGATGGTATCAGATGAAGCTGTTTCACCCACAGGCGATCATTTCTCCTAGATTATCTGAATGGTTTCACAAGCCTGCACCCTTATTCAATACTTGAAATAAACCTATTTTAGATAATTTCATAAGGATTTTAGATTTCATTTTTAAGTTCCAAAAATATTCAGGTCAATGTATAGTTGTTATTGAAAAAGTGCTTGCATGGGATGGTTTTTCAGCTTCAGAGGTCAAAGGTCAAAGTCACTGTTACTATAAATAGATAATCAGTTTCTCTGTGAAAGCTAGAGTTTGCTTTGGCCAATCTAACCTGAACTTCATACAGTATTTTCTTACTGAATTTGTTTGCATAGGATTGCTTTACAGTTTTGAAGGTCAAAGTCAAGGTCACTGTTACTGTAAATAGAAAATCAATTTCTGTGAGAAAAACTAGAGTTTGCTTTGGCCAATCTAGCCTGAACTTCTTACAGTACTTCCTTACTTAAATTGTTTGCTTAAGATTGCTTAATAGTTTTGAAAGTCAAAGGACAAGGTCACTATTACTATGAATAGGAAAAATCAGTTTCCGAGCAATAACTGGGGGAGGAAAAATTTCCAGCCACATAGCAAGGCCTTGTTGACCTGTCTGTGTTCTACAAAGGAGTAATAATCTTTATTTGTTACATGTACCTTCATTTTCTTCATAGAAACATTTTTAAATATTTCCAAACTGAAACGACAGACAAGGAGATATAACATCTTTGTCTCACACCTGAAATTTACAAATATCTATCTAGTTAACTCATTTTAAATTGGATCATATTCACAACATAGTATCACCCTACACAGGTCTACTCCTGATTATATTTTGATAGTCACTGGTCAAGGTTGAAGGTCAAAGGTCATCCTTGACCATTTTTTAAATGAAAAGCTTGTATACAAGATATTATCTCATGAAACAATGTACAGATTTAATCCATATTCACAACACAGCATCACCCCCACCAAGGTCTACATCTGGTCTGATTTTGATGATCTTCAGTCAGTGTTAAAGGTCAAAGGTCACCAATGACTATTTCTCAAATCAAAATCTTTTTCATTATATCTCATAAAAGCCCTTGACTGTTTTACTTTGCATTAACACCATAGCTTCAACTTGCCAAGGTCTACACTTGCTAATCTTTTATTGGTCATCAGTCAAGGTCAAAGGTCATCCTTAACAACTTTTGAAATAAAAAGCTATGTGCAAAATTTCTCCAGAATACTTTAAGATTAACCCATCAATAGATTTAGATCAGAAGAAGAAGATGATATGGTAGAGATGTGGACTCAGTGTGCCTATGCTCATTTTTTTAATTGGTCTTTTTTTCCCCCTGTAATAAGGAATTTAAATGAGGGGAAGGTAGTGGTAGGGATGCACATGATTATTAATTAATAAGAAAATGATTGATGTACCAAAGAAAAGTGAATGTTTGTCCACTGGTATGCAAATTGAAATATTTTCATTTATTTTGCATGCCCAGGAGACAAGGAAACAATCTCTAAATAAGGAATCTAGGAGATTTTCCTGTTAAGAGTACATATGTGATATATTCTGGTTAAGTATGACCAGTATTATTACAATCTTTTTTTCATATTGTTCTTGCCTTCTGGTGATAAAATCCTTACCTGTCCTATATGTTTGAGGTGATGTTGAGTTTGCTAATTGATATGTGAGGTCATAAAACTATACGTGTACTGAACGTTTATTTCTGGTATTCCTTATTACCTGAATGTTTGTATAGGGAAACACTTTAAGCATCCACTGTGGTACTTAAACATTGCTGATGACGGTCAATATATGACAGGACACAAACAGTGACACGGAACCACTTTCCAGTCCCTCAGTCCATATATGAATGTATTATACTTGGATAAATAAGTTCAACAAAACAACTATTGTTTTCCCTACCATTTTCAGGTCTAACGTCCGTCTTCAAGTCTAACGGTCATCTTCAGGCGATTATTTTACAACATCTTGAGCACCTATATGTCGCACATGTCGATGTGATGACACTGATTTTGTGGATGTTTTGTGTACATTTAGGTTGGTTAATTATACTCTTTCAATTATACATGTATATCACTTTGCAAAAAAGTAGCATGTCTTCAGTGAATGTATGTAGTAGTACTTGTTCCCTGAAAAATTTGTCATTGAAACTCCAGGATAATTCTTACCCCCGGTAATGTATATACATTTATCTCATGAATACGTAATTTACACTGGAGTCATGTTCATCAGCCTCCAACGTTAGGCTAGCATTATCTCCCTGAAATATGATAGATTGTCCTGACATTTAAATAATAGTTGGGTAGTTTAAGAGTAATATCTTTACAGTCAAGAATGTTATATGATAACTTACTTGTCTAAGGTTACTGCATTTTGTTACCCTGGTTCAAGATCATTTCCATTTGTTAAGCTGGCTGAGATTACAGCTGTTTGATGGTCCAAGATAACTATAGTTTGATAAACTGGTCCAAGATTACTCTAGTTTGTCAAACTGGTCCAAGATTACTCTAGTTTCTCAAACTGGTCCAAGATTACTCTAGTTTGTCAAACTGGTCCAAGATTACTCTAGTTTGTCAAACTGGTCCAAGATTACTCTAGTTTGTCAAACTGGTCCAAGATTACTCTAGTTTGATAAACTGGTCCAAGATTACTCTAGTTTCTCAAACTGGTCCAAGATTACTATAGTTTGTCAAACTGGTCCAAGATTACTCTAATTTCTCAAACTGGTCCAAGATTACTCTAGTTTCTCAAACTGGTCCAAGATTACTCTAGTTTGATAAACTGGTCCAAGATTGTTATAGTTTGATAAACTGGTCCAAGATTACTATAGTTTGATAAACTGGTCCAAGATTACTATAGTTTGATAAACTGGTCCAAGATTGTTATAGTTTCATAAACTGGTCCAAGATTACTCTAGTTTGTCAAACTGGTCCAAGATTACTCTAGTTTGTCAAACTGGTCCAAGATTACTATAGTTTGATAAACTGGTCCAAGATTACTATAGTTTGATAAACTGGTCCAAGATTACTCTAGTTTGTCAAACTGGTCCAAGATTACTATAGTTTGATAAACTGGTCCAAGATTGTTATAGTTTCATAAACTGGTCCAAGATAACTATAGTTTGTCAAACTGGTCCAAGATTACTCTAGTTTGTCAAACTGGTCCAAGATTACTCTAGTTTGTCAAACTGGTCCAAGATTACTCTAGTATGACAAACTGGTCCAGAGTTAAAGCTGTTTGTTAACTGGGTTCCAAGATTACTGCCATTCATCACATATTGTAATAATATTTATTTGCAACATATGGTATGGTTATAACAAGGTTAACACCTACCAGTAATTAGATTTTAATCAAGTGATAGGCAAAAGTCTCAAAGCTATCACTGATGGATGAGTTGTGTGCAATTTTCAATAATCAAAGGAAGTAATATACCAGAAACTATATATCTAATTCAGTCTTAATTCTGTCCTCATGTTTTTATTTTCATCTTTTTCAAAACAATATTATATTAAGTCGCTCTTTCATAATGGCTGATGAAATTGCAGGCCCACTATAGTACAGATCAAGGCCTGGCAAAATTTCATTTACCTGTCACTTTGAAAGCAGAAATTACTTTTTCCATGTAAAATACCAGCAGGAAGCAGTCACAGAACAAGTGGTGGGTAAAGATTAAATCCTGATAACTTGATATAAACCAATTAGATAGAGGTTCAGGTACTGTAGTAGTGTGTAAGCATATAATTACAATATTTGCTTGAGTCACATGAACTGTTTGCTTTATCTGGGTGCACCCTCTTGTGTTCCTGATCTTGCATATAAAGTGGATTGTCTTGCTGAAAATGTTCATCTACTAAACATACACCAACTCTACAGGTCTCAACTAAACAAGCTCCTCTAAACAGGCCTCACAGAAACAGGTCCATAATAAACAAGCTGCTACCAAACAGGCCTCACAGAAACAGACCCCTAATAAACAAGCTCCTAGGAACAAAACAGGCCTCTCAGAAACAGACCCCTAATAAACAAGCTCCTACAAAACAGGTTTCTATTAAACAGGTCCCTGCTGAACAGGCCTCTCAGAAACAGGCCCTTGATAAACAAGCTCCTACAAAACAGGTTTCTATTAAACAGGTCCCTGCTGAACAGGCCTCTCAGAAACAGGCCCTTGATAAACAAGCTCCTACAAAACAGGTTTCTATTAAACAGGTCCCTGCTGAACAGGCCTCTCAGAAACAGGCCCTTAATAAACAAGCTCCGACCAAACAGGTTTCTATTAAACAGGTCCCTGCTGAACAGGCCTCTCAGAAACAGGCCCTTGATAAACAAGCTCCTACAAAACAGGTTTCTATTAAACAGGTCCCTGCTGAACAGGCCTCTCAGAAACAGGCCCTTAATAAACAAGCTCCTACCAAACAGGTCTCTATGAAACCGGTTCCTACAAAACAAGCTACTCAGAAACAGACCTCTAATAAACACGCTCCTCTAAACAGGCCTCTCAGAAATAGGCTCCTAATAAACAAGCTGCCCAACAGGCTTCTCAGAAACAAGCCCATAATAAACAAGCTCCGACCAAACAGGCCTCTCAGAAACAGACCCCTTATAAACAAGCTCCTAGGAACAAAACAGGCCTCTCAGAAACAGACCCCTTATAAACAAGCTCCTAGGAACAAAACAGGCCTCTCAGAAACAGACCCCTTATAAACAAGCTCCGACCAAACAGGCCTCTCAGAAACAGACCCCTTATAAACAAGCTCCTAGGAACAAAACAGGCCTCTCAGAAACAGACCCCTTATAAACAATCTCCTAGGAACAAAACAGGCCTCTCAGAAACAGATCCCCTATAAACAATCTCCTGGGAACAAATCAGGCCTCTCAGTAACAGGTCACTATTAGACAGGTTACTGCTGCTAAATATGCCCCTGCAAAACAGGTACCTACTGAACAGGCTCTTTCAAAAGAGGTTTTACTGAACAAGCTCCTGTTAACAGGTGCCTGCTAAACACGCTTTACTGATGAGGTTCCAACTAAACAGGTTCCTGCTAACCAGTCTTCTAATGAAACAGACTTCTACTGAAGAGGTCCCTGCTAACCAGTTTTCTACTGGTACAGACTTCTACTGAAGAGGTTCCTGCTGAACAGGCCCCTGCTAAATGAATGAGGCTTCTAATGAACAATTTCCTGCTAACCAGTTTTCTACTGAAACAGACTTCTACTGAAGAGGTTCCTGCTGAACAGGCCCCTGCTAAATGAATGAGGCTTCTAATGAACAATTTCCTGCTAACCAGTTTTCTACTGGAACAGGCCTCCTCTAAAGATATCCTTATATCAAGGTCATAAAAGTCTTGAACTTGAAACCATTTTTGAAAGAATTTAAATTATATTTTATTTACATTAATAAGGAATTTACGTTTCAGGATGAACATGATTTTTATAGCATTATGTTAATTACTATCTTGTACTGTAAACTTAACTAGGACTTTAATGACAGTTTGTGTAATTCTATTGTCGTTTGCTAACTACAGTTTCTAAACTTATGTTTACTTAGTTTCAACTCACTGTATCACTGTCTATATATGGAAAGCTTAGGTTTTCGACTTCACTGGTTTGAATGATGTGAGCAGAAGTAAACAACCCATCTTATAAAAAGAGATGGTAGTATGTAATTTATATGAATATTTGTGAACCATCTTGACATTAAACTGTTTCTGTCTTTCTGTGATCTTGGGACATCTTTTTTAGTATTTTGATTACAGCACCCACAAAACAAGAATTTGAAATCATGACATTGTAGTATAAATCCTCCACTTATGATGTTCTGGCTATTTTGTATTTTTCTTCACACTTCTTCACATTCTGTAGGTAAACTGTGGCGAGGAGCACGATACTCGATAGCTGTCAGTTTATTTTTATGTTTGTCATGATAATAGCTCTTCTGAGCTAATGTTACATTTTTTATTGTATACGACAGAAAATTTCTTGTATCTTGTATCAGGAGAGCATTAGCCTTAAGATTCACAACCACAGGTGGAGATGCAAGGTGTATGTGTGTGTGTGTGTGATTTGACACTCCATACCCGCGACATTTTATTATATACCCCCTACCCACCACATCGAAGTAAGGGAGATATATGCTGCTTGGAGGAATTGTTTTTAGCAGAAATTTGGGTTGCCATGGTAACCAGATCACTGTAGACAAGTTTTGATGTAATGGCTGTAACTCATCTATCCTGTCATCAGTTTTATTGAAACTTGGTCAAGTGATGTAACTTATCATTGTTTGTAATTTGAAATATCAGGTGTTTCCAGAAACGTTGCAATGGAAACATGGTGAAGGCTACTGATTGGTCGAAATTGGGAAATTGTCCAATTGTGCTGAAAAGGGAAGCCATTTACAATGGTACCATTTTCAGAATCATTGTCATTTGGTTGCTATGGTAACCTTATCAGTCCAATGATTAGACATATCTTTTCCAAACTTCCCCTAATGTTGTTTACTGATTTCATTGAAACTATACAGGGATGTTAGGGACTGTGTAGATATGTAGCCTACATTTGACATGCTAGGTGTTCCAAAACCATTACCATGGAAACACATTTGCGACTCCTGATTGGTCAAAATTGAAATGTTATCTGAATAAGTTAAAAGTTGGTATAAAAAGGTTTAGGGGGTTAACAAATTCAATGAAAAAAATATGGTTGCCATGGTGACCAAATGAAGGCCTCTTCGAGGATTCGTGTTCGGACAACCCCACCTAAGCTGAGAAATTGACTGCTAAATGCTACGTTGGTAATGTCCAAGGGAAAGACTCTTTACCCCAATTAGTCTGGCTGCATATGGTGGGCTTCCTGGAAATTGTTCATTGATGTAGTCACCAGCATGGTGCCCCACACCTCATAATGATTAAAGGGGCCTGTAACAGTGTTTCTAAGGATGAAGGATTGTACAGTAGTATATTGTTGTAGTATGACAGCATACCCTAAAAGCCCTTATCCCTGAGAAACATTGTTACAAGCTACTGTAATAACCATTCTTTAGTATTAGTTAGATCTCACTGACTTTATATTTAATACAGATATCAATAAAGTATTGTGTTGATCATTTCAGATCATTGTATCCATGTTGTCAGTGCCTGCCATTTTCTACCGTCCTAAGGGTAGGGAAGAGGATTCAGATGCTGCGAGAGAAAAGTTTCAGGTTCCAGAGAGTGACCATCTGACCTTCCTCAACGTCTACGAACAGTGGAAACGAAATTCGTAAGTAAACATTAGAATCATTATGTCAATAATGTGTTGTATGTATGGTGTTGCAGACCACACATACAAGATAAAATGAAGCGTCTTTGATGTGTCTTCGTTTATTCTTCAATATCCACAGCTAATTCACAAAAAATATAAGAATATCTGTATTAGTTAATGTATAATAAAATGTGATTGTATCTGAAACAAAATTAAGTATCCAAATACTAATTCTTTAGAGGTACACAATAACTTCATAGCATATTCATTTCTCTGTGGTGTTTTTGACGATTCACTTCAGTCATTAACTGATGCATAAAGTTTATTACTACCTTGAATGGGTTCATATCTAAGTGTTGGAAGGTAAATTCATGGTAATTTATTTATCAAAAATTTTAAAAAAAGAAATAGAAAAAAATTTATTCACAGAAAAAAAATTATTCACAGAATCCTGTGTCTATGGTAGGTGTACAGGGAAACATTCACTCAGGGTATTTTTCTTCCAGTATTAAATTTGCTCTATATAGCAGTAGGTTTATGTACATACTTGACTAGCAAACATTTGTGACTTTTATAAGTGACTTGATGTGTTTTTAGCATACCAACATTAGGTAAGCTATTCAAATCACCCTGTGTTCATGGTCCACAGTCTATTCTTAAATCATTCTTGTTAATTCTTGAGAAGTACTAGCTGGGATCTTTCTTAAATTTCATGTAAAGTTTCCCATTGGTCCCAGTTACAGCCTTTGGATTTTGTGAGTGATCAGATATACAAAATAAAATAAATAACAAGAAATTGAAGTAGATTTGCTAATTCTTTTTCAGGTATTCAGCCTCCTGGTGCAATGAGCACTTCATTCATATCAAAGCCATGAGAAAGGTATGCAATAGTGTTTGGTTTGACTTAAAAATAATTAGGGGTTAAAATTCATCAGCTATTCTTCAGTTTAAAGGTACAAAATTATATATTATGTAGATCCTTGTTACCTGAAGTTTTGATGATCAGTATATAGTGAGTTTCATTTCACACCTCTAGATGACTAGATTTTTGCGTTAGTGTGGATTCCACCATTTTTTACATTTTGTCAATCTGTCAGTTTGAAATAATAAGAAATGTCTTGATTAATTTGCAGTACCTTGGTATACTTTTATACAGGTGTATAGGGCACTATTCAGTGTATTCTCAGTATACCACAACCTTTCTTCCATTGTGATTTTGTACAAGTTTTTTGAGTCCTGTGAATGTTGTTGGATCAATGTTAATAATGCCAAAAATTTACATATTTTTATACATTAATTAGTAAATAAACAGCACATATATTTCTTCATCAGCATTCAATCCAGTAAAGGACATTTTGACATGCCTTATCCTGTGGGCTAGACTTGAGGATTTACCTGTTACATCTAAGCATGCACATAAGCAACACAACTTGCAATATGAAAAAAACATAAGATCATCAGCTGCTTCATAATGAAGTCAGGAAACTTTAACAAAAATTGTGTGTAATAGGTGTCACCCTCTTATATATAAATACACATTCAAATGTAGTAGTGTACAGATTGTACAGTTATAAATTCAATAACCATATCGCAGTTACATTTGGTGACTTTGTGGCTGTGTTATTCAGTTAACACAAAGGGATATTTATAAAACTGTTGTGGCAATTAGTAGTATGTGAGTTTGATGTTACAACTAGTGCATTTAAGTGTAGGGAAATCTGTTCTGATAACATTGATGGAAATACCGGTGTTTGGTAGTAAAACCTGTGGCAATACAACCAAGTTGTCCTGTAATTAGCATATTTTTGTCTTCAACTTAAAGTCAAAGGTCATATAAGTGACATGTTTTCATCTTTCTACTGATTATTTAAGAGTCCACTTCATGATTTCTAAATGGCAAAGTGAAGAGCCCAACAGCTTACATATGTGATTAGCCATGAACAGCTGGATCTCTGGACTTCCTATTGCTGAACAGACTGAGAACTTCCCAATTTTTTATTGGTTAAAAAATTATCTTGACCTGCAAAAGATTATTTTAAGCGTTTATGTGGAAATACAAGTCTGAAATATTTAAAATGGTTTGAAAGTTGTATCATGGGAAATTTTTGGAATAATAAAAACATAAAAATTCCTTCTTCATTTGATAACGATATCCAGTTTAAGGCGTACAAGAACATTCTACATTTTTTGTAATAAAAGAAATGTCTTGATATCAACATTCTATTGTGCATTAAGATGAAGAGTTGATATCAACATTCTATTGTACATTAAGATGAAGATTTAATGTCAGACATTCTATCGTACATTAAGATGAAGACTTGATGTCTGACATTCTATCGTACATTAAGATGAACACTTGATGTCTGACATTCTTTTGTACATCAAGATTTAGAGCTAATGTCAGACATTCTAGTTTACATCAAGATGAAGTGTTAATGTATGATATTCTATCGAAATTATACACCGAGTTGTGCAGTTGATGTTTCTGTACATTAAGGTACGTGAAGTGCGCCAGCAGTTGAAGGAGATCATGGACCAGCAGAAAATGGAGCTCATCTCAACAGGCAATGATTGGGACATCGTAAGAAAGTGTATCTGTTCTTCCTACTTCCATCAGGCTGCTCGGCTTAAGGTTAGTTATCGGCCAACACTTTCCAGTAAAAAAACACTACATACAACGTTCAAACTATCTCTAACACACCTGATTCATAACTTTTCTATTGGTTTTCCAAGAATTCTAGATCAACAGGATTCTTTATTGTTGCTTTATTTACTTGAAATAATGATAATTAGATCAGAAAAATAAAATGTTACAAAGGTAAGCGTAAAACATACATATACAATATCTTGTCTGTTTCTTTTCATGTTTCAGTTTGAAAAATTATTGAAAATATGTCTCACACCCGTTAAAAGTTTTCTGGGACTTCATAAAGTACAGCATTGTATTTTTTTCACAATATATTTGTCAGAAAACTGTGTTATTTCACTACACACAAATATAGTGATAAATGATATTAAGATTACCAGTATATTGTAGGTCACTTTGATAAGCTCATCTGTCAGAGGATATGTGTGTCTTGAGTTTCTTGTAGGGTAAAACATGATGAGGCTTAACAATGTTGTTTTTACAGGGTATTGGAGAATACGTAAATGTGCGGACAGGGATGCCTTGTCACCTCCATCCAACCAGTGCCTTATTTGGTATGGGTTATACCCCAGACTATATTGTCTATCATGAACTCGTCATGACAGCCAAGGTATGTCGATTAGAGCTGAAATACCACATACCTTCTCTTAGGGTTATTTCTGCAGATTAAAGCAAAGGCTTAGGTCAAAATATTCTTGGTTAATTTTCCTTATCTCTGATCTAAATAGCTTCAACTTAACAAATCTCTTGTCAAAAATTCATGAAAACCTGAAAATGGCATTCAGTTATTTTCAGGATTGAAGAAATTATGAAGATTTTGCTTTGCTACTTCTGTACAATTATATCTCATCATTTCTTCCTATATATAATGTTTAAATCCTGATGGATATGATCATGGATTCAAACATTCTGTGCAGCATTTCAGTGTAAAGAACATAGGTTATAGAAATATTCAGGAAGCCGATGTCTTGCAGTACTGTAAGTTATATCATTTGTGTTTAATACAGGAATATATGCAGTGTGTGACGTCAGTAGATGGTCAGTGGTTAGCTGAGTTAGGACCAATGTTTTACAGTATCAAGGATCCTTCCAAAACTAGACAGGTATATAGAAATTTACACAATATCACCTTCCCACAATAGGTACACCAACTCAGACTGTATCACCTTCCCACCACAGGCAAACCTTCTCAAACAAAGTAACCATTCTCATACATGTAAACTAACTCAAACAATATCACCATTCTGTAACAGGCATACCAAATCAAAAAATATCACCTGCCTTTCACCTAAGTGTTTGATTCCTTGAATGGTTGTGAAAAGGTATGGGGTCACCTCCCCAACCACATGGGATTTCCCCATGTCCTCCAGTTTCCTCCAACAGTAACACCCCTTGCACAGTGCCATCCAGGCCAGCAAGAGTGAATATTTTAAGTTGGATTATTTTGTTTCACAATTGTAATAAGATAAATAAAGTTTGATTTCAAAGTTTAAGTACTCCTGCAATACCATCCTTGTACAATGGATACACAGACTGAAATATTATTACCATTATGAAGTAGGTACACAAACTCAAAATTGCTGTAAATAAATAAAGTTTAATCTTATAAACTGGTGTACTGACTCAATTATTATCAACCTTATGCAACAAGTTGATATTTTCAAAGAATATACGGTGTGTGAATTTACACAACTATTACCATTTCAAGACTGGTACATTATCTATATTCAACTAAACAAAATTTTCCTTTCAAAAGTAGTATATCAAGTTGAGTGAATTTTATTGTGTTTGTCAGGAAAGAAAAACAATAGTACATTATACATTGAATTGTAACTGACCTCTTTTATGTAAAGGGAGGAAATTGATACTATTTGTTATATAGTAATTAAGGAAATATTTTATAGGAAAGAAAGAAAGTTGCGGTTGAGGAAATGAATGCCATGGAGGAGGAAATGAGACGTGCTGAAGAATTGATTCGTGCTCGGAAAGAACACCAAGATGCTAAGAACCTGACTGGCAAAGGGTAAAGTATTTTTATAAGGCTATGATATCTGTTTTGACCATTTAAGATAAGGTCAGACATATTCTGTAAGACACTGGGTATTGATATTGTTTCTCCAAGCTTAAACAGATTTGAGACAATGTTATTTCAAAATAATGAAATATAATGTGTAATGTCCTCTCTCTCGGGAGAAAATCTCCCATGATGATATATTCTAGTGATGAATCGAGATTGTGGAAATTTAAGTGTAAGAAGTTGATTACTGTACATCAAGACCTTTTTTGTAATGATGGTTCCATTATTTCAGTACTAACATAGCTACACCCGGCCTGAGAGATCCTGGCACTCCTGCATACACGCCACGACGCACTCCAGCCAAGTTTGGTATTTGACATATCCAAACCTATTGTTCATGGAAACCCATCAGGTGTGCTTTTCAGGAATGCAGCATTACTAAAGTGACTAAAGTGATACATAGTGAAGAAGTGACTGCAAGCCTTCACTTGTATATAGGTGTAAAATGTCAAAGTCTGTATAGATGCTTTCAAATGTACAATAAAGGACTGACCATATCCTTTAGTATAAGAAAGTGTATCCTTTGGCCTTATGGAATTACTTCAAGGACACTTATTTTGATTTTGATGCTCCAGAAGACTGAATAGGGTCGATTGCAATGTACAACATTTCTGTTCAAAATAAAAATTGGCCGGATGAGTTTTTCTGGGCATGGGGACAATTTTGGATATTTTTATTTCTGAGAGAACAATTAATGTTCCCAGAATATTTTTCAGTAAACTACATGTAAATTAAGAATGCTACTAGAACCAAAGAAGTGAATTCATTCCAAGGGTAATTAATGTGCTACCTTTAATCATCTACCTGTGATGTTATGTGAAAATAAATCATCATTAATAGACTTCTAAATGAATCTTTTAATTGGCGTAAAAACTGATACTAGAACAATGTTTTAAGGTTCAGTATGGTATTACTAAATGTAATACTGGTAAATAACGCTATTGCTTATGAGACTAGGCTTATATAATTGTATAATGATTGTGTTGATTATAATGTGTTTCTCTGATTGACAATGATTTTTACCCATTTCATCCAGTTCTTCAGTAAAGAGTAATGCATCCAGCACATAGCTATATATTGTATTCCAAGACAGCTGGGTATCTTGAGCAGATTTCTGTACAAAATAGGGTTGACGTTTTCTCTCTAAACCCTGTCAGTTTGGATGGATTACAACACCATTTGCTACAGTATACTTTACCTAAACACCATTCTGTGTGGGAAATTTGCTACAGTAAATTCTATGTAAACACCATTCTGTGTGGGAAATTTGCTACAGTAAATTCTATGTAAACACCATTCTGTGTGTAAAGTGTGCTACAGTATACTCTGTGTAAACACCATTCTGTGTGGGAAATTTGCTACAGTAAATTCTATGTAAACACCATTCTGTGTGTAAAGTGTGCTACAGTATACTCTGTGTAAACACCATTCTGTGTGGGAAATTTGCTACAGTAAATTCTATGTAAACACCATTCTGTGTGGGAAATTTGCTACAGTAAATTCTATGTAAACACCATTCTGTGTGGGAAATTTGCTACAGTAAATTCTATGTAAACACCATTCTGTGTGTAAAGTGTGCTACAGTAAATTCTATGTAAACACCATTCTGTGTGTAAAGTGTGCTACAGTATACTCTGTGTAAACACCATTCTGAGTGTAAAGTTTCCTACTGTATACTCTGTGTAAACACCATTCTGTGTGTAAAATTTGCTACAGTACACTCTATGTAAACACCATTCTGTGTGTAAAGTTTTCTACAGTATACTCTATGTAAACACCATTCTGTGTGTAAAGTTTTCTACAGTATACATTATGTAAACACCATTCTGTGTGTAAAATTTGCTATTGAGCATACTTTAGGTAAACATCATTTTGTATGTTAAGGTTGTCAAGTTGTATATTTACAACATTTTGTATTTTGGTCAGAATGAAAATGTCAGAAAGGAATGATTGATTGTGTACCTAAACAAAGCTTATATTTTGTATTTCATTCCTTCTCTAGAAATTTTCTTTATACATAATAGTAGTTTCCTAGGGTGCCTATTTGTCAGATGTTGCCTGGTGCACAGTTTAGAAAGCAGGCAATAGTTCCATGTCTGTGGATATTTCTATTCTTTATTAATTGTCATATGATGTTGATCTTAAATCTGGAGTCTGGCAGTCATATTATGCTCCTGGTATAAAGAAGATATACATTATTCATATCATTGTGTGTAGAATCACTATTACAAATAATTTTATTTTCTGAAATGTGAAATAACTGGTTTTAGTTATATATTTTCACTAATGTTATCAAATCGTTCAGAATTACCCCAACAATTTTGATGTTTTTGTTTACGTTTGAAATGTGACATAAATGATTTGGATATATTGAAATTATTGTGCTCAATAAAGCACAGAATGACTACAATCAAAGTTTGTTGTATACATTTCTAATTTAACAATATCTATTTAAATAGCCTGTAGAGGATGATTCTCACACAAATGGTAGGTATATGTTATAACATATCTGTCATGTCACGGTTCACTATTTTTGTCGTTCTACCAAAAGCTGAAAACAAAAAGGATGTATTTTTCACACAAATCTTTAAAATACTCCGCAGTTCTGCCATCAGATTTGATTTTCAAATATCTCTTTTCCTTCCTTCCATCCTTAAATTGGCTGAAACTATAAAAAGACAGATCAACCATATGTACCACATCATTAAGAGCAGCATTCACTTCCTTATACATCACTTCCTGGGTAAATGTTAATAGCACTTGTTCATTCCTAAACTTAATGGTATAACATTGTGTAACAAAGTGAAATACACAGTATGATAAAACAGAAGTTGACTTACTTTGGACATTTCCTTCTCACTATTTGCTGGAATGCTGACATACTCACAAAATGTTGAGTGTTCTACATATTCCAGAAATAATTGTCTTGAAGTCAATCTATACATACAGACATTTAGTAGATGTATCAAAATTAGTCTTCTACTCGTAATATAACATGTCGAGAGAGACAATGGCTGGACCTGTGTGCTTGTCAGTATGAGTGGGATTTTAATATCAAATAAACAAATATTGGAAACATTACTGATTTGTTTTATATAATGATAGCTTTTCCTAAGTTCAATGTATTTGATCAGTACTAAAGGCTCATGCTGAAAAATAACTGCATGTAAAAAATAAAAAATGAAATTGTTGATCAGTATAAACATTATTAAATGATAATGGCTATTGATAACGGGTAAATGTTCCAGATTATCAAATCACAATATATCTGGGTTCTTTGCCCTTAATAATTCTTGTTATCGCTATTTCTTTAAAAGTATTGATTAATTTTTTTTCTCAAATTTTATATGAAGGTTTCATTTGGTCTAAATTTGTGCCGTGTTCATTTTGTGCTAATCAGCTAAACAAAATGGCTGACAGATGGCCATCTAGGATTTTCACAAAGTTTGTTATCGCTATTTTTAGAAATAATAGGTGAACCCAAATTTCTACTTCTACATGAGGGATTAAATAAGAGAATCTCAAACTAACGTGGTGGGGTGATTATTAAGATGTAAAAAATCTGTCTTTATCTTAAATTGAGTTAAATCGAACTATCTTTTCCCACTCAAAAACGAGACCGCGCTGAAATGTATGGGGAATAGTTGTCCATGCTGAGAACCATGTGGAAATCGTTCAAATCCACCAACGAAAAACAGGGAATCACAATAGAGTATTTGATTTAACATTGTACTCAATTCCTTCGCTGATGTCTTGTCCTTCAATTTTACAAATGACTGTTAAATATGCTTATTCAATATCCCATTTGATTCTTTTTCATTTAGTTACTCAATATTCTCACAAAATTTCCGCTCAGCTCAATGCATCGGTAGGGCATGAGATTAGTTTGTTAGAAAATGTGTTTTGCCGGGTAGCGGTCGTAATGACCGTATATGATTTCTAACCAATCCGAAAAATATCAACATCAGGTGAGAACCAAAGAGAGGCTCCAATTTTACTTGTGAGGGGTTTTGTGTTGACAAAACGCGGTCATGTTACGTCTATTTCTGAGGATGAAATGCCAGTCAGACGAGGGGCTTTAAAGTATTTCACATGAACGTTGTCTGGTATCTCTGCTGTACTGGTGCCAATGATAAAGGATCTGTCGAATCTAAAATTTAAGTTTAATAAAGTAACACAACATGATCAAACGTCACAATTCAGTTAATTCTAAAATTAAAAATTCACAAAAGTTCCGGAACTATTCCAGCTTAACGTTTGGGAATGGTTAACTAATGATCAAACATGTCCCAGTAAATGTGGTAACACAAGTCTCTCGTGATCTAAATAAACCACTTAAATTACAAACCACATTTTTTATGTCTCTTTTAACGGAAGAATTGGACGGACCTGGTCAAGATGTAAATTGTATGAAAATAAAACTGTTATAACTAGTTTAAAATTAATTACATTCGTGTTTAATATAATTGTCAGAATGACAATAACCTGCGGTGTTATTTCCTATAATACATTTAATACATTTCAAATACGTCGACATAGCAGACGGAAAATGATTCAGCAGAAATGTTGCAATATATTGAGAGAGAAATTGACAACGGTGAATCTGATAATTAAAATGGTTTAGACTTCCTTGTTTTAAATCATACATCGAGCAACTGCCGTCTTTCGGCATACCTTGTCTGACGTATTATTATCAACTCGTCAGACGAGCTGTTTGAATGGACATACCAGTGTTTGTTTATACCGTGGATACATTAAGGGGGAGACATGCAAATATTTGCAAAGGAATAGAAATTTATTCATTTTTTTACAACGACGAACAACAACGATAGAAGATTGTACTTGTAAACATGGGCTGAACATGTACACTACCCCGCCACGTTCTGTTTTAATAAATGTCATGGGGACTTTTCTTTACTAACGTGTAGTTCTCTGCTTTTAATAGAAGTCACATATGTTTACCTGGACTGAGTGGCTATGTCTACCGTTGTTATTTTTAAACGATCCTCAACTTTGGAAAGACTTCAAGATCACATATCTATTTCTTGTATGTTTCGCGGATTTTAACTAGTATAGCTTTTCGCAAGGCTTACTGATATGGTTCGACACGCTGACTGATGGAAACTACAGCAAATAAAGAGACAGAGACACCGTATATAGTAGAATATTGGTACTCTTTAACTTATTCATTTGTATTATATGACTTTCATTACTATTTTTATCGCCATTAAATTTGTGTTCAACACTGCTTTTCATTTGTATAGTATATTTGAATTTGGAAACGATATTATTAAAAATCGTAGAAAACGTTTTTTTGTTATATAAATGAACCAATATTAAAATACAAAAGGAGCTAGAACATAAATGGAAAATTTACAACATGACTCCCAAATATACAATACAAATGATTTTTTAACAATACAGATAAATTCTCGAATGTAAATGTGAAATACAAAATTTAGATGGAAAAAAGTAAAATAAATAAACACAAATTGATTATGAATACTAAAGTATATGAAAAAAAAACAAAATCTATATGCAATACAAATATACAGTTGTGGAATACAAATACACAGTTGTGGAATACATGTAATCACTGTCTTTTTCGCGGCTAACTTCAGGTATAAGTTAATGTTCAGTCTACACCGGAAAGTATCGCGGCTAACTTCAGATATACGTTTGATGTTCAATCTACACCGGAAAGTATCGCGGCTAACTTCAGGTATACGTTTGATGTTCAATCTACACCGGAAAGTATCGCGGCTAACTTCAGGTATAAATTGATGTTCAGTCTACACCGGAAAGTATCGCGGCTAACTTCAGGTATAAGTTGATGTTCAGTCTACACCGGAAAGTATCGCGGCTAACTTCAGGTATAAGTTAATGTTCAGTCTACACCGGGCGGTATCGCGGCTAACTTCAGGTACAAGTTAATGTTCAGTCTACACCGGAAAGTATCGCGGCTAACTTCAGGTATACGTTTGATGTTTAATCTACACCGGGAAGTATCGCGGCTAACTTCAGGTATAAGTTGATGTTCAGTCTACACCGGGAAGCATCGCGGCTAACTTCAGATTATCAGTTTGATGTTCAGTCTACACCGGGCGGTATCGCTGCTAACTTCAGATACAAGTTAATGTTCAGTCTACACCGGAAAGTATCGCGGCTAACATCAGGTATAAGTTGATGTTCAGTCTACATCGGAAAGTATCGCGGCTAATTTCAGGTATAAGTTGATGTTCAGTCTACACCGGAAAGTATCGCGGCTAACTTCAGGTATAAGTTGATGTTCAGTCTACACCGGGAAGTATCGCGGCTAACATCAGGTATAAGTTGATGTTCAGTCTACACCAGGAAGTATCGCGGCTTAACATAAGGTATAAGTTTGATGTTCAGTCTACACCGGGCAGCATCGCGGCTAACTTCAGGTATAAGTTGATGTTCAGTCTACAAAGGGCAGTATCGCGGCTAACTTCAGGTATAAGTTGATGTTCAGTCTACACCGGGAAGTATCGCGGCTAACGTCAGGTATAAGTTGATGTACAGTCAACACTGGAAAGTATCGCGGCTAACTTCAGGTATAAGTTGATGTTCAGTCAACACTGGAAAGTATCGCGGCTAACTTCAGGTATAAGTTTGATGTTGAGTCTACACCGGGCAGTATCTCGGCTAACATCAGGTATAAGTTTGATGTTCAGTCTACACCGGGCAGCATCGCGGCTAACTTCAGGTATAAGTTTTATGTTCAGTAGTAAGAGTATAAAGTCCACGGTAAAGTTGACGTATGTTTCCAGGTATAAATTATAAACAATTACTTATAGTTTGATATCTGGATACATCAGTTTATCTCCTTGTAGTTTTGTATTTTGTTCGTCACAATCATATGCCGTTGAATCCTTTTTTGTGATTTATGGTTTTGATAATGACGATATATGTAATATGTATTTTGCATCGTATATGTGATTTATGTGTATACTTTATAATTCCAACAAATTGTAAAAATTAAGGAAAAAAAAATTTCTTAACTCTGGTAGATCTATCGGTGTCGTTGTCGTTATTGGTTATGTTTTCTCAGCACCTAACTGATTTCAATTTCGTTACTTAGCAGATATATGTGTTTATTTATTGTTATTATCATTCAGTTAATTTTTTTACTCCATTCTTTGGAACTGCAATGTTTCCATTTTCATCACAGAGAGAAACAGTTTAGCAATACTTCATTTTGAACGCTTAACCAACAAAAGATAATATCTTGTAAAGGAAATCAAGGCCTGTATTCATGAAACCATTCTTATACTCGAGCATAGATTTTGTGCTCAAGCAAACTTTTTTTTATTATTCTCTTAAATCATATGAAATAATATAAATGTCAAATATAAACATTGATTATAACTTTGACTTGAAGTCTTTTCAAAATTTAACTTAAACAAGACATAAGGCTTGAACACAAAATTCATGCTTGAGCACGAGAACGGTTTCGTGAATACAGGTCCAGGTCTTTCTAAACATACTTATAATCCATGTAGAAGGAATTGGGGAAAACAAATCTAGAATTTTACACGTGGTGTTAATCCTTTTGCAGAAAACAAATTATTAAACAAAATTAAACTAGCAAAAATAAGTATCATGAAATGTAGAGAAATTATTAAGAATGTAGTTCTGTGTTTCCTGGGACATGAAAGAATTAAGGAACAAAAAGGAATAATTATATCTGAGAAATGTATCCGTTTCTTGAGTCAGGTATTAAATGCATAGTAAAGGACCCTGTCTTACTACTTACACATGACTGAAATTATATAACATAAATGCTGGAAATATTTCATACAATTTTGTAAAACTTTTTTTCAATGATCAATTATGACCAGATCATGCAGTTAATTTAGCAGATTCATGCGTGATTCAATATATGTGAAGTAGCAAGGAACCTTCATATTTATCGAGAAAAAAAAACAGCGTGAAACGGTTATATATACATTAGTTTACAGAAGCATTTGAGGAAAGTAGGCGAGGATCTATTTCTTTTGCAAAACAAACATATAAAACGATTATATCACACGTTATAGAGAGGTATTTTGGAAACC